TTTTTTTTTTTTGCTACCAGGGATCGAACTCCCATCCTTGCACTTGCGCAGCAGGTGTCGAAACCACTGAGCTAAATCCCTAGCCCTTTAACTTTTATATTTAAATTAAAGGTGATGTACTTACCACCATTACCCTAATACATTATTCTTTTTTCCCTCACTCTGGTTGCAGTTACATCTAATTGATGGAGATGTGGAATTTTTTTTTTTTGAAACAAGGTCTCACTAAGGAGTCTAGGCTGGCCTTGAACTCACTATTAGCCCAGGCTGGCCTCAAAAGAGATGTGGATTTTAGTTCTACTAATTTCCCTATAAATGGAGTCTGCCTTTTATTTCATTGCCCCTGTGTGTGTCTGTCTCTCCCTTTGAGAGTGATTTCCAGGAAGACAAGGAGTAAATCTGCCTTTACATTGCAATGAGCAAGTCAAAAATCTAATTAATATTTATTCATCTATTGGTGCTTTGGCTACAATTTCCTGCTTCTGAAATTTCAGATACTTTTAGAGGGCAAGTCATCCAGAAATGGGGAAAGGGAGTCCTAGTAATTATCTGGAAGAGTTTGGCCTCTGGCAGACACCACTGAGGGCCTGGCCCCTTCCGCCTTTTCCAGATTCATCTTTGGCCATGTGCATGGATGCTTCAGCCATGATGTACTCCTTAAAGTCTTTCCAAATGAGTCACACTCCATGTCTTACACAGGCCTCTCCCAATGTTGTACTCTCATCCTGAAACAGTCTGGCCTCATCTCTCTGGTCAACTCCTGCTCATCCTTCAGCTTCAGCTTAGATGCTACTTGTCTAGCAATCTTTCCTTGTCACCTTTGTTCCCTCCCCCGGTCTGTGTGCTTGCTTCATCATAATACTTGTCACTTCATATGGCTTCTTAGTCCATTTCCTGCTTCTTTAACAGAATGCTAAAGACTAAATGAATTATAAACACTAGAAGTTTATTTCACTAACAGTTCTAGAGGCTAGAAAGCCCCAAGTGGGGAGTACCTAGGGAGGACCTTCTTGCTGCATCATAGCATGGTGAAAGAGCACACAAGCACTCTCAAGACAGAAAAATCACTGACTTCACCCTTTTATCAGGAGCCCAGCCATGAATTGCCTTAGTCCCACCTTTTCATTCTGTTTCAATACCAATTAAATTCTAACCTGGGTTTTGGAGGAGACATTCGGACCACACTCTAGTTGTAGCATGGCACTTGACTATTCTGAAACTCATTGAATTGGGTTCTCAATGTGTTTTGACATGAAATTGGTCCTTGTACTTGTTGTGTATTTGGTCTCCAACATACAAGCTAATACCTGTTGGTGTTGACTACCTTGTAACTTGCTACCTTTTCCAGCCAAAACAATTTGTTTTGTACTCATCATTTTTGGTACTTGTGCTCCTGGAAACTGATGAATGATGAGTGCCAAGGTACCACTGTGCTTGATTTTTTGTCTTTCACTGTAAAGACAGAATTCCATTGAGGGCAGCAGTAGCATTTGTTTCACTACTCGATCCTCAGAACGCTCAACACTACCTGGCCATAGTAGGTGCATGATAATTGTCTGATGAATAAGGTTGAGCATTTATTTCAAAGTTCCCTGGGTTATCTGTTAATCAATGAATGGTTGCTATGTTTTGAAACTCTGGATAACAGATGTGCTCACTAAGAGAGCTACTATTAAAATAATTTTTTAAGCATTCTTTTGTCTTTTCACAAGAATTAAAAGACTTTAATTTTGTATTTCAAACATCTGAATAGTTGGTTAAAATAAAGAAAAAAAAAACCCCACAAGGTGACATAAGTCCTCTGAGGGTAGAGGTTTTATTTACTTCTAAATTCCCACCATCTAGAAAAGTGGCTGGCACGTAACAGACAGTCAGGGTTTTTGGGTTTTTTTTAAATTTTGAAAAAACAGACACATGGACCACAGCACTCCTTTCAATTATGTGCATTATATATGTCTCTTGACTCTCCTGGCCTTGGCCCTGTGGGGAATAATCAAAAGTCTGTAGAAGCAGTCAGTTTCCACCCCAAAGAAGGCATTCAACATGGGCATGGCATTGGTTTTCTGGGTAGAAGGAGGGCAGCTCTTGTGGTTCTCTGTGCCCTAGTGTACTGAGAATATTTGTGCCCCAGGGAAATGTCTTCCACAGTGTGGTTATTTAGTGCCTTGAAGACACAAAGCCACCTTCACTGTCATTTAACCTAAGGTGAAACCTGCCAGTTAGTAAGTCCTGCCTATGCAGAGTTCCATCCGTCTCTTTGTTAAAGCTAAGCAATGGGCAATAACAAGTCACCAGATGTTAAGAAAATCTTTGTGATAAAATGTGAGAGATAAAAGCCAAAATACTTGAAACAATATGACTTGAGAAAATTTTAAAAAGGATAGAAATTACCAGCAGCAGCTGTAGAATTCTAACATCAATATGGTGATTTGGGACACGGTGGCACCCATCAAACTAAAACAAGACGCTCTGGAGAGAACACAAACAGGAAAACAGGAAAAAAAGCTGCTGGAAATAATTTTTGAACAAAGTGATGAAATAATGCATTCAGTAGAAGAGTTGGAAGATGAAGTCAAAGGGCTGCCAAAAAGTAGGATAAAAGGAAAGGATCAGAACATAGGAGAATAAAGAGAAAATAGAAGGTCAGTTGGCAGATCTAAAATTTAGATAAGATGATTTCCAAGAAGAAAGAACAAAAAAAAAAAATGAGGAAGAGGAAATTATAGGAGAAATATAAGAAGAGGTTTTTTCCTGGGTCTTCTGACCAAAAGAGCCCTCCCAGCACTCATGAAGAATGAATGAAATAAGACCAGCATCCATGGGGGGCCAGAACACTGCAGGTGAAGAAGGGGACTTTAGAGGAAAGAAGCAGGCCATCTGCCAAAGGACTGTCACCAGGCACCAGACTTGTTCTCAGGAGTAGGACAAAGACAGTGCAGGAAGCACTTCTAGTGGTTTTCAACCTAAAATTCGGAATTAGTTTGAACTATGTAACAAGTATGAGGGGAGATAAAGACATTTTCAGGCAGAAAGACTTAAAACGTGTATGTCTCATGACCTTTTGCTTACAAAGTAATTTGAAGATATGGTTCAACAGAATAAGGGAATCAGCTAAGAAACGGAAAGGCATCAGGTTAGGAAGCAGCAACCCCAGCCCAGAGTGGGGCATCCAGGACACACCAAGTAGCAGACAGGGAGTCAGCCAGCCTTGGGGCCCCTGACCATGAACACCTGTGGGACAAAGTACGATGAGCAACACCCCAAACCCAGACTTACGCACACACCGTTTATCGATTTCCCACTTTTATAATCAACCCTTAGAATAGTGAAAAGGATTAAGTCTGATTACTAAATGGAATACAGATACTAAAAACAGCTGTAGTAAAAAAAAATACAAATGAGAGGTTAGAGGAGATAAGGGTGGGAAGTAATTTCATCTTACCAAAAAGGGAGTATTTGTAACTGATGGGCTGAAACAAAACCAACAAGTCCTCCATATGTTCCAGAAAGTTATAGAAGTAGCCAGTAGAGAAGTTAAATATGCATGGGTCTGTGCTGTTAGATGGGGGAGGGAAGGTGGGGAACTTCAGTTGATGAGCTAAGTCATCATCTAATTGTGGAAGAAATTTTTTTAGATAAGGTCAAGTATTTCTAAATCTAGAAATGCTGGTACAAGTGCATAATAGAGAGTTCTAGCCAAACCATCTAATACACCTCTGAGGTTTGAGGCATATTTCTTTGGGGAGTGATAAAGGCCTATTTCTTTACTTGATAAACCTTCACCTAGTATTTAATTTCATAGTCATCTGCATGTCCTGCTTTGATTGAATATGTTAAAAGCAGGATATTAGCTTTGCAACAAAATATCTGGGGTAGTGAATTTAGAAAAGAAATGGTTTATTTAGCTCACAGATTTGGAGGCTCGGAGTCCAAGATGTGTGGCACTGTTTGGCGTCTGGTAAGGGTGGTAGATGGTGGTGTATCATCGCAGGGACTCAGGTAGCAGCAAATGGCACACAGTAGACAGAAAGTAAGAGAGACCCTGGCTCCACACCCCTTGTGGAGCGCACGGCCCCCAGGGACCCAGGCCTTGCCTCTTAGAGGTCCACAGCACCTGCCAATATGACCACGGACTTGGGGGCCACTGAACATCTACCACAGAGCAAGTAAGTACATGAGAAAGGAAGTGACTGTGCTGTGAACGATTAGCAAATGGCAGCAAATTAGTGAGTGGGTGGGGAAATAATCAAGAATTAGATTAAGGATATTCAGAGCATGGAGTTTTGGCTTTGTTTCTGTCCTGGCTGCCACTTCCTGCAGAGGCAGCCTCGGCCATGCTCAGATTCTCATCTGAGCAAGGGGAAGTAGGGTCTCCTACACAGGTTTTCAGGAGGACTGCATGCGTAACTCCTGCTGAGCTAGTCTGTGGAGATGATAAGAAATGTTTTTATTTTTATTCAGTACTTTAATTTTAGAACAAATCTGGTTTCAAGGAACAAAGGATCCACACTTGGCTCCAGTTTTATTGCAGGCATTGACAAGCTCTGTAACTTGGAATGGATAATTAAAATTGCACAGAGCATTGTCACTCTTTGAAAAAAGCAGTTGAAGGAGTGTCTACTCTTTCTTTAAAATAATCAATTGTAAAAATTAATGAAAACTTTAAGAGTAAAAATGCTAGTGATGATCCTGGGGAAACAATGTGAGACTGGTACCTCGTAAGACCTTCTAAGTGAGTGTTCAGGGTAGAACCATCCGTAGACTCCGTTCTACAGTGGATACAGGCACACAGTCCATTACCAAGGACTTAGGGGCTGGATGTGTTTAGAAATTCAGAATTCTCTAGTTGTAGAAAGATAATATGTGTATCGGCCTTTATATTATGCCATCTTTCCAATGAGATCCTAGAAAGTACCCAGTAATCAGTCAGTATTCCAATAGTGATCAATATTCTTGCATTGGAAATATTAATTCACAAGTATTAAGTAGGCTAAAAAAGCAAGTCTATCATTAGACACATCCTATTCCAGGTCAGATATTGCTGTTAAAATAAATTGAGTCAGGTCAGGTTTTGCCACCAAGTAAATTTTTCAGATAAGTTTCTGTTTTCTGGGCTTTTTTATCTTTAAATATTTGAACATTGGAGATTTGTTTTCCTCCATGTACTCCTGGTTGATTCTGTGCTTTGCTGCGTGGCTCTGAAATGAGAAGGCTGCGTTTAATAGTAATAATGGAAGAGTAATGCCCCCTTTTGGGGGCAGGCATGTGAGGCTGCAAAATTGCCTAAGCACTAGAAATATTTGAAGGAAGTAATTGTGAATTTTAAAAGATTACTGTTGGAATGAGATCTGTAGTTGTTTTTGCTGTTGTTCTCCTACAGGAAAAAGAGCCTGTGGATTTCTCAGGGAAACCTCAAGCAGCGAGGTCATTTCAGTTCTTTGACCAGAGTCTGATGGAATCCATCAAATTGGGTGACCCCAACGTGCACGAGTTCTTCAGGCTGCTTGCTCTCTGCCACACTGTGATGTCAGAGGAAGACAGCACAGGTGAGCAGTGAGCCTTGTTTGTCAGAATAAAGCCGATATTAAATTGGAATGATTTTGAACTAAGAGCAGAACATTGCATAAGGGGTTGCCTTGTCAATAATTTTTCTTTTCATTTGTTTGTATCCTGAATGTTTCCCAAAAATGTGGAGCGTGTTTAAAGAAAAACAAATAGCGTCAGTGGGAGAGTGAGGACCCAAATATGCTAGTCAAAGGGATGAAATGTTTCTTCATCACATTTCACTGTGAGCTTCTTGTACCCAGAACAGATAGGGAGTACAACTGAGTCACATAATAGATGGAAACAACTGCCAGGAGTTTTGCCTCCCAGCGATGGTGACAGAGTTACATGGATATTGCGACACCTCTGGCCCTCCTTAGGTGCAGACCCTCGCATCTGCAGTGTGTGCTTGGAGTTCAGGCTTCACAGAGCAGAACAAAACCAGCTGGGCCACTTTAAATATTGAAGCTGTAATGCAGATCAATAATGTTGTGATGAATCATCTTCTTCCATTGCCCCACTCCACTCTATTTTATAAATATTTTCTGCTTTCAAATATAAGTTAAAATTACTATCCAGGTAATTTAAAATCAAAAGTGAATATACAGAGACTTGAATATTTGTGTGTACCTTGTACATACATGTGTACATAGACACCTGTCTCGTATATACACATAACTTTGTGGTTGTTTGTTTTACCCCCATTGGGACTATATTTAAGATACAGTGTTTTTCTCTGATGATGTTGGATAACCCATTCCTCAGATTTTAAGCACTTTGAGCATTCATATAATTACATTTATGATTATAACTAATCTTTATAATATTAACACCAGCAAGGAATTATTATATTTCCACTTGGGAATATGCCTTTAAGTAAGTTTCTTTTATCTCTGCTTTGAAGTTTATTTCATTTCAAAAACACTGTTTTGTTTTAATAGCAGTCTGTTTCCCATTTAATGTTATGATATTCTTTAGACCTCTTTGAGGATATTAATTATACTTAACTCGATGCATTCTTTTGTTCCTTCTATTGTGTCTTGAGTGTTCTGTGCCTGACTTTAATGTTGCTCTCCAATATTTGACCATTTGTGGTTGCTTATTCCTCTTTGCACGTGAGAATCCCCTTCTGGTGAATGTGGGTTCCCCTAGCAGCAGCCAAGGTTGGAAGCTTGTCCTCACTTATGGGGTCCCCCACCCGATTCACGGGACACCTGGGATCACAGCTTGCTTTTCCAGACTCCCACGTGAGACAGTGTTGTACATAAAGCTTGGGCCTGGGAGGGATCATTGGCCAGTGAATTCCTTTTCTGTCCTTTCTTTCTCTTATCCTTATGGAAGTCTGGAGCAATGAGTTGTGATTGAAAAATATGGTAAATACTTACATTAAAATTTATCACGGTAAAGGACACATTGCCGTGGATCCCCTCAAAATCTTCCACCTCGCTTTGAACACACTGATCCCATTGTCCTTGCCACTTTCTCAAGCAGCTCTGGAGTCCTCTTTCATGTCTTTAGCTGTGCTGTCCTGGGTGCCTCCAAGTCCTGAATGGACTCAGTGTTGACCTTCATGGTCATTTTGACTTTGGGGAGGAGCCGGAAGTTGCACGATACCAGATCCGGTGAGTTAGGTGGACGAGGATGCAGTGAAATGCTTTTTACCAGCCTGCCTTCCCATCAGATGACACCTCACAGCAGAACTCACTGTTTTTGTCATACCTTATGAGCACACTGAAGAGGGAGACGAGGGAACCAGTTTAGAAAGTGGCAGGCACAATGGGATGAGTGTGTTCCAAGCAAGGGGGAGATTTCTAGAGGCATGGATGGTAATGTGTCTTTTACGGTAACACATTTTCTGGAATTTAAACACACACCATATATATTGATCACTCCTTGTACCTCAAGATCTTCCTGGCTTTGGTGTCCAGCCTCAGAACTCAGATCTCGGCGCCATCCTGGGATGGATAGTGTGCTTGGGGTAGGAGAAACATCTTCCTGGGCTTGCCGGAGGGGGCACCGCCTGCTGCAGCCTGCTGTTCAGAGTGAGCCGGCAGGAGAAGAGCTCACTGGGTCCTGCAGCACTGAACAGAGTCGTTAGCTTTACTGCTGATGTCTCCTGCTTATGTTCTCACTCGGTGACTCTGACCATCTTTGGGGGTTACTCATCCCTCTGTATTCATTTTCTTCTGCAAATGTTCAGAGCTGTGTTTTTCTCTAGTTTTGTTTCTTAACCGATCAAATTGACATTTTATCATCCAGATGTTTCTCACATTTGTAGTTTATTGATAGTATTCATTTTTATTTTTTTGCACCATCCCGAAAATTTCATAGTGTTATAGTGAAATGCATTGAAACACGTGGGTCTTATAGGTGTAGTTAGATGAGATTTGGCAGTTATATATACCCATGTAATCATCACTCCTATCAAGGTAGAAATCTTCCACCACTCCAGAAAGATTATTCACATCTTTTACCTCAATATCCATAACCCCTACCCAACCAGCCACTCCCCTCATTTCTATCCCTCAGGATGAGTTTCATCTATTCTTGTACTTGATATTAATGGAATTATATAGCACGTACGTTTTGCATCTTGCTTCTTTTATACAGTGTCGTGCTTCCATTATTCATCTGTGTTGTTTCAATTAATAGCTTGTTTTCATTGCTGAGTAATATTCCATTGCAGTAATATATCACAATTTTTTCCCAATTCTCTGTTGATGTACATCTGGCTGTTTCTAGCTTGGGGCCTTTATGAGTAAAACTATCACAAGCATTTTTACCTCTTTTAAAAAATATTTGTTTTAATTCTCAAAGGGAATTTAAATACCTAGAAATCTGTATTTCCAGATCACAGTACAGCTGTATGTCTACCCTTCTGAGAAATTCCCATTTTCCAAAACGATTGCATCACGTAACATTCCTACCACCAATGCAGGGGAGTTCTGAGACCTCCAATTGTTACCAACACTTAGTGTCAATACTCTTACATTTTAACCATTCTAGTGGACACAAGACTAATGCCTCTCCTGCCATTTAAAAAGGAGAATTAGATATATAAATCTTTTCAACTGTTTCTGTCTCTTGCCTTGAGATATCAAGCTCTAAGAGAAGGATTACATCTTTAAGGGAAAATTGTACTGCTTTTCCCTTTAAATCTTTCATTTATGAGATAGGTAGCTCAGTGTTCAAATAAATCCATGTATGTTAAAGTACATTGAAAAATAGAAACCTTTCCTTATAAATGTTAGTTATGAAAAAGAACCCTGATCAAACATACTTAAAATAAGCTGATTGTACAATTGATAGTTGAGAGCATCGATTTTAAATGTTCGGTGTGTTTCATGGGGAGTTATTTGGAGAAGCTGCTGTTCTGTTTTGTCTCCCAGATGAAATTTCAAAAGTAGGGAAGTGAGAATTCTGCATACCTTAGGAGGATTCCTTCCTTGTTTTTAAATTTTTTTAGTGGAAGGCAGTAATTAAAAATGATTTTTTTCTTATTGTCTCATTATACCAGTCCTTTAAAATGTGCTGATGTTTGTTTAATGGCCTGGTAAGTGTTCAATTTCCATAAATATTTAATGTGTGCTTGAAATGAATGTACATTCGATAGTTATTGGGTACTAGGTTCTAAATATGCCCATTATGTTTATGCAGTTTCACTCATGTTTGCTTGATATGTTATAAGATTACGCTATTAGATATTAGTTTAGACTTACATCATCGTCATCATCATCATCATCGTGTGTGTGTGTGTCTGGGGTTGAACTCAGAGCCTCAGTACAGACCTGTATCTCAGTTCTTTCTTTGTTTTGTTTTGAGACAGTCTCACTAAGTTGCTAAGTTGCCCAGACTGGGCTCCAACTTGCCATTCCCCTGCCTCAGCCTCCCAGAGTGCTGCAGTTACAGGAGTGTACCACCATGCCTGGCTGAATTAAAACTTTTGCCAGTATATGCCATCCTCTATCTCTGGTAATACTTCTTGCCTTAAAATTTATTTTATCTGATATCAGGTATTTCCCTTTTGTTAATATTTGCATTTTTATCTTTTTCACTTTTCCATATGTGTCTTTTTAATGTCTTAGACACATCTCCTGTAAATGGGATATCACTCAACATATTTTTAAAAAATCAATTATTTATTGTTACTATGCTTTGATTTTAAGTATTTAAAAATAATTGTTTTGTATGTTTAGATTTCATTCTACCATCTTATTTTGTGCATGTGTCCTAAGTTTTGTCTTAGTCTTTTTTTTCTGTCCTCTTAAAGATGCAATCCGTATTTACTTCTGCTAGTTTGGATATCATATTTGTGTCTCTTTTTTCTTGCGATACTGGGGATTGAACGCAGAGCCTTTTCTCTGAGATGCATCCTTTTTAAAATTTTTTAACTTCTGAGACAGGGTCTGTCTAAGTTGCCTAATTGCCCACACTGGACTTGAGCTTATAACTCTCCTGCCTCGGCTGCTAAATGTGCTGGCATCACAGGCCAGTACCATGGCCACACCAGATGTTTATCTGTATTCTTTTCAGTGTTTAACCTAGAAATTGGATCATAATTACCTTACAAGAGAATGACCCTTCTTTCGGACAAAACACCTGTCCTCTGTTACTCAGGGACTCTGTCTTGACTTATCTAATACTCTCGTGTCCTTGTCATGTATTTTAACTCTCTCTAAATCCAACCAGTGCTATTCTGACTGTTTGATTCATCCACATATGTACGTATCAGTTTCTATGTTCTTCCGTGGTTGTCCCATTGCTAATCTGTTGACTTGATATTTGGTTTTTAGAAATTCCTACTGACTCCTGGTCAACTCTCAGAAACTTTCTTTGAAATGGTGTTGTCTTTACTCTTGAATGATATTTTATCTGTGTAGAAAAATTCAAGGCAACAGTTTTTCTCACAGCAAAATGAAGAGATTTCACTTGGACTGTGTAGTTGGCTGTCTAGATGTGGCTTGAAGGTAATGAGTCTTTTTCTTCCCAGCCACCTTAAAATTTTGTCTTCCCTCATTTTTGTAGTATAAGTTTGCTCTTAAAAATATATACTGCTTTTTCATTGAGATTCTTGAATCCGTGGAATGTCATCTTCTACCACTTCTGTAGTGTCCTCAGCCGTATATTTCTTCAAACAATGCCCCCAGTCCGTTTTCTGTGCTGTGAGATCTTCAATATTACATATTTTCACAGTACTCTGTGTCTTTGAACCATTCTCTTATTTTCTATGTCTTTGTTTCTCTGAGATATCTTTTGGAATTTTCCCTATTTTATCCAGTCTACCAATTCTTCCTAGAAGGTCTTTAGTTTTGTTTTTTTTTCCCCATTCTGCTTCATTTCATGCCTCTATTTAATTTCTTGAAATTTATGAAATATATTGCACCTGCCGTTCCTGGGCCATCCGGGATCTAAAGGGCGTGCAGGTCTCACTCTGCCTTATTTACTGTTGTTTTAATGACTTTTCACTGCGGGCTGACACTTTTTTTGGAACTATCTTTGTAGAAATTCCTTGGGTCTGGTTGGTTCTTCCAGAAAGGATTTACATTCACTTCAGTCAATGTTCTAATGCAGAAATACCTTTACATTTTCAACCTGATTTCTTTAAGCCATCAGATATTGTGAGTTCAGGATGTAAATATACCTAAGAGTTAGTGTTTGGTCGTAAGTTCTCAGTGTAGATTTCCCCCCTTTATGCTTATAAACAGGGGTCTAGGCAGGCAATTTTCACTGTCAGCCTCTAAAAAGGGGAACAGACCTCTAATTCACATTTTAAGTATAGTATGTCAGTTTTAAGAGGTGGTCTCCACTGCATTTCTTACCTTGGGCAGGCTTTGGCTGTGCCTTTTCTAGCCTAGATGGACTGGAAAGCACTGACTGAATTTTCCTAGTTCAGAAAATGCCCTTAAGGCAAGAGCTGATTGCAGTATTTTTGAAAAAATATCATCTCTGTTCTTTTTCTCAGTCTCTGACCAGGACAGTTCTTGCTTATTGGCAGTTAATGAATATATTTAAAAAATTAAATGTTTTTAAAGTTATTTGCAGCAAAAGAGGTCAGTCCTCACACTTGATCTACCATATGGCCAAAAGTAGGAGTTATTGAATGATTTCATACACAGATCAAGCAACTGCTTGGAGTTCTTTCCGCTTTTGAACTTTAAGAATTGATTCATGGCTTTTATATCAAGTGAAACAATACAATACAAAGGCACAGCTAATCATTTATTTCCTAAACTCCTCCAGTGGTAACATTTTGTGTGATCATTTCACTCTTTCGCTTGCTTTATATATAAAAATGAGTAGGGATTTTTTTAAACCCAAAGGAATCATAGTATGTCCAATAATATACAACTTGTTTTCTTGACAATTTATCTTAAATATCACTATAAATCGGTAAATATAGATCGAGCTTTGCCTACTTTTTCTAATTCATTTTTACAAACAGGATATAATTTTATATAGAAGAGTTTACTTTATCCATATTGTTTTTAAAAGTATATTAATTTTTTGGCTTATTTTGTTCTTTTTCTCTCCTCTCCCCTTTCACCCCAACTCCAACACATACAGTATCAAGTAACAAGTATTGACACCCTGGTTTGATTCCTTACATTTCAGTGGATTTCTTATATGTATTCTCATGGTCACTAGCAGCTAGCATAAGTGGAATTCAGAGTAGCTGCTCCCTTGCTTTTTTGCTGTGAGATCTTACCAGAAATTAGAGTATCTTTCAGGTATCAGTCTCACCAGGATAAAATGGAAATAATAATTTCAATGATCTTTACCTCAAAGGCTTGCCCTCAGTATTATGTGAGTTGTAGTATTTTAAACTGACTTAGTTTGTGTAATACTCCTGATTCATCTCTGGTAACTGAAAATATAAAAGCATGCTCTTTGGTCAGCACAGTGGGGAGGCAGGCTCAGAAACATTTTCCTAAAAGATGATGAGGGCTACCTGGTGGTACACATGGGGTCCTGGGGATATCCCAGAGGACAGACACCTGGTTCAGCTGGTTGATAGGGAGTGAACACCTAAGAATAGGAAAGATGTTTTTAAAGCTGCTAGCTGAGTTGGGTATTAAAGAATGAGTTGGGATTGGCATGGAATTCTAAGAATGCTAGTTGTTATTCCCAACCTTGATATACTTGTTTTGTTTTGTTCTTTTCTTCCTTTCTAGGAAAGCTGATTTACCAAGTTCAGTCGCCTGACGAAGGGGCCCTGGTAACTGCTGCTAGAAACTGTGGCTTTATTTTTAAGTCTCGGACCCCGGAGACAATAACAATAGAAGAATTGGGAACACTTGTTACTTATCAATTGCTTGCCTTTTTGGATTTCAACAATATCAGGAAAAGGATGTCTGTCATAGGTATGGTGGATGCTTGAGCTTATTTGTGATCTTTAAATGGTACTATGGTTATATTGATGCTTTTCAAGGATTATTTTATTTTTGGCTATATGCTGAGAGCTGTGACATTTTTGTAACTTTATGAATGCCTGGGATCCTCAGCTTAGTCTCAACACTATAACATTTAAAGGGCTTACTATGTGTCTGTCCAGCATTGTCCCAAATGTTCTACTTGAATTAAATGCTTTAATTGTCACCACAAGCATAGTGAGGTAGGTAGGTACCATTACCTTCGTGCTCATTTTACAGCTAATGAAGTTGTGGCTTGGGGAGGCTGAGTAATTTGCTGAGGTTCAATAGCTTGCAGTGCCATAGTGGGGTTCACCCCCGGGAAGTGTGCTGGTGGAGCTCTGGCTTAAAATGAGGTTCTGGATTGCTTGGCACATGCTAGTTGTGAATATCATGAGCCTCTTCATTTCATTCATCTTCTCCATTCACCCCCACTGGTGGAGCCCATCCTTGCTCCTGACTCAGTGGTAACCCTCAGTGCTGCCTCCATGCTCCAGGGAAGCCCACCATTAACACAGCTTGGCCCTGCCTCCCTCCTCTCCTGATGACGTCTTCACTTATTTCCTTTCCTGATCAGAGGAAAATCACTCTGACTGCTTTTCAAAGCCGAGGCTCTCCCTGCTGTCTTCCCGTATCCTCCTTGCTTCCCTCCTCTGTGCTTGTGCTTTGTTTTGTCCTCCATCACTGGCTCCTTCTTGTAGGCCACAGCTCTACCCCATCCTATTCCTTAAGGTATTGTCCACATTGCGAGGCCTGCTGACTTTGCTGGCCTGTTTCTGCTTTCCATCACAGGTGGAGTTCTCAGGGCAAGCTTATGTCCCTCAGCCTTCTTATTCTGTTCACCCCTCAGCGTTCTTCTGTTTCCACGAGAAGAAATGCTACTGCAGTGGTTCCAACTGCTGGGGACCATCCAATATGGAGGACATTCCTTATCTGACTATTTACCTGGCTAACTCCTTGTCCACTTAGTTTTTTTATTTTACTTAGTAATGTTTGGTCTTGTTGGCCTGCTTCTCTGAACCTCCTTTTTTGCCCTATGTGACCTTACTGGCTCCCAGTCCTCCTCCTGTCCAGTGTTTTCTTTCTCAAGCTCCTTTTCTGACCCTTTCTCTCATCCCACTCCTTAATCTTCTCTTGTGTTCTCCTAGGGTGAGCTTGACCACTGCTATGAGATGGCCCTGGCCTGTTCTGTGATCTTCCTGTACCTTCTCCCATTTCAGTCTTCTCTGAGATTCACACATTTTCAGCCTTCTCCCGGAAGAAATTGTGCTATAGTTACCTAAAATTTCATGTCAAACATGGAACTTTCTTTCTCATAACTATTGTTCTATCTATTGTTTCTTTCTCATAACTCTATCTTTTATGGAAAACCTTTCAGTGAACTCAAAGGTTTATAATGAGCTCTTTTATTGAATTGTTTCAATAATATATTACCTTCATTTAGGACACAGAAAATTGAACTTAAAGGTTTTAAGTAACTTTCCAGAGATAGTCACATGGGCATTGCACAACTTGTCACATAACTGGTCAGATGCAGAGCTAATATTTGAACCCAGGGTTGTCTCTTTTGAAGTCTGGCCTCTTAACCTCCAGTGTAGTCCACTTGCTTTTGATACCTCCATATCCTTTATGCCTGTAGGATAAGAGTTCTCCAACTTTAGCTCCTACGAGAATCACCAGAGGGCTTGTTAAGACATAACTGCTGGACTTCAGCCCCCAGTGTCAAATTCAGTTGGTTGGGGATGGAGGCCCCAAATTTGCATTTCTAATAAATTTTTAGCTGATATTCTTGGTCAGGGGGTCACAGTCTGAGGACTGCTGCCCTAACCTAACATTCTCAACTGTTATTCATTATTTTTCCTGGAGATATCTGAGACATTTCTCAATGTCTCCTTCTCTGTTGTCACCCTGTTTCTAAACCCTCCCTCCACAAAGGCATCAGAGTAATATATCCAAAAATAGTTTCATAAACCACCTTTTATTATAAAAGTCTTTTGTCTTTTTCCTTTAATTTCTCAATGCCATGGCTTTAATTAAGCAATAATACAACACTTGCTTGTATTATTGCAATATCTTTCTTCAAAACGGTTTCCCTGAAAATAATCTTCTATGCTGACACCAAGGTTCTCATTCTGATTTGCCACCATTTACTCAGAAAACATTGATGACTTCCTAGAATTTAAGGATAAAGTCCTTAGTGTGACATGCAAGATTATTTACAATCTGACGTCAACCTACTTTTCTTCTATTTCACAAGATGCGCTCCAACCTCAGTAGGCTTCATTGTTCCTGAGATGCACTGTGTGCCCTTATGTCCTCTATAATGCTGTCTTCTCCATCTACAGCAACTCTCTCCCCTACTTCTTTTTCTTAAAAAACTCTTGTTAATCTGGTATGTCCAGTTCATATACCACCTGTTTTTTCTTCTCCAAGTAACTGCCTCTGCCTGTGTTCCTCTCAGTGCTTTGCTCATAACTCCAGGGTGAGACGAGTCCTCAGAGATTTGTGATTTATCCCAGGCAGACCAGGCACCATGCCTTAGTCTTAAACTCTCCAGGGCCAAGTACACAGCTTGGCACACAGAAACTTTTCCATAAATAGTAAATAAAACTCAACCCAACTTTGTAACTCATGCATATCCTGGTCCTGGTGTTAAGTCAGTTTCTACTGTGGAAAAAGTGTGTCTATGGAATGGTAGGGTTTGGGGTCTCCACTGGAAACTGGCTCTGAAAGATTGCTCTCAGCAAGGGAAAACCGAGTGCCATCTGAAGCCATTTGTGTTTATTTTTATGACAACAGGCTGTAGGCCATCATCTGCTTAGGAGGACACAAGCCGCTTCTAGGTATTGGCTGTGTGTGCCTACAGCAGGAGCTGTCTGCTATTAAAAACTGCAGGGACGTGTTAGTGATGCTGGTTTGGCCCAGACTTGGTTTCTCTTTGCTCTGAGGGTGTTGACAAAAACCTAAGATTGTTACACAGGGAGACTTGGCTTTTCTTCAGCATCGGTCACCATTACAGGCATGGGGAAATCACAGTGTAACCGCAAACATCAGATGTCTGACTTAATGGGTTGCACATGACAAAAGGTAATGTTCCACCATGGAACACGTAGAGGCTTGGTGGCTTGGGTTGGTTCCGTTTGGCTTTTAATCAAGAGGAATTTGAGAGGAAGGAACTCCAGGAGGGCAGAGAAGTCTCTGTTTGATAACTAGGCAAGAAATTGTCCTACTCTCATGACTGTCACATGACTTAGTGGGGACAGCACTCTGATGTGAAGGCTCAGACATTTGTTCCTGCTGCTGCTATTTCTGTCTCTTCTGCATCCTTTTCTTCATCTTCTTCTCTTCTCCTTCCTTCCCCATTTTCTCCTCCTCTATCTTTCTCTTTTCTTTTTTTTTTCCACCTGGTTTGTCATTCATCCAATCATTGGTGTACAGATTCAGCACCAGCAGGGCTGTCATTCTGAGGCCAGAGCTGTGATTTAAGTCTGTGGTATCTAAATAAAAGTTGATTTCTGTAGAATTTTGGCAGAGGGTACAGAATCTACTCTATTAGTAAACCTGTTATTATGGGTTGGATCAAAAACATACCCTGAAAGTCTCAGGTGGTCAGAGGTGAGGCTACCGGGTGGTGATTGGATCACCGGGTGCTAACCTCATCTGTGGATCAATCCACTGATGAGTCTGTGGCTGAATGTGCTCTTAGGAGGCGGGACTTTGTTGGCGGAAGTAGGTCCCTGGAAGTGTGGCTAGAAGGACATATTCTTTTTTTTTTTTTGGTATTAAATTCTTTTATTGGTACATTGTAGGTATACAACACAATTACATTTCTCATTGGGAATTGTACTTTTATATAATGCATCTTGGTTCTTATTTTTTCCCCATTCCTAGCCCTCCCTTCACGCCCTCCACCCTTCCCTATTTACAAAGACTTTATTTCCATTTTTTCCATTTCTCATCATTTTTTCCTTTCCCTTCTTTCCTTTCCCCTGCCCCTCCCACTAGCCCTACCCCTTTGGACCTTTTCTTCCTATTTTACATTATCGATTATTCATTCTAATCATTGGTACATTTTAGGTATACAATATAATGACATTCATCATTGGAAATTTGCACCTTCACATAGTCTCTCTTGGTTCTCATTTTTCACTCTTGCTCAGCCCTCCGTTCAACCTCTCCAGTCCTCCCTATTTACAAAGATCTTGTTCCTATTTTTCCATTTTCTCATATTAATCCCATTCCCTTCTAAGAAGGACACATTCTTGTCTCTAGTCCCTTCAGATCTCTCAGGCTCTCTTCTCTCCTGGCTGCCATGAGGTGAGCAGCTTTCCTTTTCCATGCCTTTCCACCATGCTATTTCTGCTTTGGAGCCAACTGACCATGGACTGAAACCGTGAGCCCAAATTCACCTCTCCTCCTTTAAGTTGTATATGTCAGGTGTTTTTGTTACATCAATACATGATAGATGGGTGGCAGGGGAGCAACTATGAATGATGTCCAGATTTCTAGTTTGGGAGAATGAATGAAGGGCAAAGATGAATACAGAGACTTGGGTCATAGGAGAAGTAGCTAATTATTGGAGGAAGGTGAATGTGTTCAGTGTGAGACTGATATGCCTGGATACATCCAAGAGATGCTCAGCTGATAGTGGATGGATAGGTCAGAAGGTGTGCTGGAGATGTTTGGGGCAGGAGATGTTCATTGGAGAGCTTTCAGCTTTGTGATGGAACCTGAGGCCAAACATGAATGGAGTTAGTTGCCAGGGAGAGGATGAAATATGGGAGGAGAAAAGACTCAGAAAATCTCTGAGGAGCAGAGCTCTCTCATTAAAGGACAAGAAATAGAAGACTTATAACCTAAAAACTGTGACCTTTGCCCATATGTTACCGTGACCACTCAAAACCATTGTGTTATTTTAAATTTGTTTTAAACAGGCTAACTCCTAACACGACTGAGATTTTATTAACTTTCAACAGAAATGACCCAGAGCCTTGGGGAAAAAGTGATATAAATGTTTTTAGTAAGTAAATTTAGACAGGATTCCATGAAATTAGATTTACACAATCTCAGATTTAAAGGATGGATCTAGGTCAAGAGAAGGCATCAAATATAAAAGATTTATTGAATCAGAGAATTGCACAACTGGAAGGATGTTTGAAGTTAAATTGCTTAAAGATCTTTTTACATGTAGAAACTGAGATATAGAGATGGTTAGAGACACAAATCACAATCAGTTTGTGATTCTTTTAGACCAGAAATTCTCAATATGTAGTCTGGGGAATTTTAGGAACCCTTGGAATTTTTTAAAGGACACATAAGAAGGAGAGTATTTGGACAAAAGTATTTTCATTATTGTACCACTGTTATTTGTCATTTTCACTCTTTTTCCTTTTTGATGAGTATATTGTGAAGCAGGCCCTTTATGTGTGACTTTTTGGTGTGGGAATTGAACCCAGGGCCCTCATGCTGAGCTACGTCCCCAGCCCTTTTTATTTTGAGACAGGGTCTCATTAAGTTGCTAAGTTTCTTAGGCTGAGCTTGAACTTGCAATCCTACTGCCCCAGTCTCCCAAAGTGCTGGAATTACAGGTGTGCGTCCCCATGCCTGACTCACACGATATGAGATGTTAGAGCAGAATGAAGCAGAAGCTATGAGGAGCCAGCTGTCTTTTATTAAGCCAGACGTTAAAGAGATCTGTAATCATGTAAAAGAATGCCAACTCTCTATAGTTTCGTTTAGAAAATGTAATTTTTATAGAAAAATTATTTATGTGAGTGTATGTTAGGTTTATTACTGTTATAATAATCATTGCTATAATGATATTGTAATTAGTGTTATCAGAGTATTGATGTAATCAGTTTTGAAGCCTTCCCTAAGTATCGAGTATGAGGATCCTGAGACCAAAACGTTTGAGAATCATACCCTAGTCTGGACTATAAAAATAATCATAGAGAAATCATACTGGCAAATGTAAGATATACATTTTCTGCATTTATATCTCTTGTGATAGAGGGGAAAATATGAGGGGAACTTATTAAATTGGACTGTTGTAAAACAAAAGCAAGAAAAATTTTCCCTAGGACTAGTTTTTTTCGTCTAGCTGAATAATTAGATGCATTGCTTATATAGTTTCTGTCTTTTTTCCCCAAAGTGAGTAATCAGAGCTAAAATACAAGAACTATATGAGTTCAGGAACTAGGAAAGCTGACAGAGGATCTTAGAACAGAAGAAAGACCTAGATAGGACCCTGTACTAAAAAGTTTCCAGGGTGCATTACATCTGTTCAAGCCAGGAGGAAACCAGAATAAGTTAAGCATTGACTAAGAGTGGTTAAAAGTTAGAGGGGAAAACAGCTAATTATTGTGCTTTGGATGTTATATTCCTGTAAATCAAACTCTAAAATTTGTGTTCCATTAAATTGATAGTAGTGGATATTTCTGTTCAACTGTTTTGAGGCATTTTACTTTTAGAGGAAAGGTATAATTAAGTGAGAAGTATGGAACCCTCTTTGATTTAATTAATGAAGCCCATGAGGGCTGCAATGTTCAGACCAGGAAGCTGGGACCCACACAGTTGTCTCAAGTTGTAAGCAGTTCCTAGGAAGGAAGAAACACACAACCATGTCGCTCATTCATTCATTCACTTCTCTCTTCAGTAAATAATTATCAAGTGCCTACTGTACATCAAGCTATGAAACCAAGCCTACAAAGTTGGGTCAAATGTTCTGAAAGATTTGGCCGACAGATCTATAGGTAGGATTGGAGATGCAGGAAGGCTGTTTTTCCTGGACTCGGGGAGGTCAAAAACACAGTCCTCATAATAGCCGACTTTCCAGAGGAAGGGGGTAGAAGCTTTATTTATTCATTTTTTTAAAGCTCTCTGTGGGGAGTGCTGCTGCTGTGACTGACCAAGAATAAAGCACTGAGAATACGTGGGCTTTTCTGAGAGCAAAGGCAGTAAAGAAAGAAATCAGCAAGGGCCAAGGATGAAAGCATAAACCATGGCTGGCATGTGTAGAATTCCATATGGAGATGATTTGGCAGAGCAGTGATAGTGGTTTGAACAGTAAGTCTTGAAATTCACACCAGGAGCTTTCAAACATAGCTCTGAATTCTGCTCAGATACAGAAGTTTTAATTCAACTCTATCAACCCTTCAGCAGCAGTAGGCAAGGAAGACGAGACTGTTGGTCATATCCACCAGAACACAAACACTCGTTTCTGGCTTTGGGAAGTCAAAAGATTCTAGTAGAAAGAATATTTCTGAGCTAGTAAAGTAGGAAGAAAGCTCATTGAATATTTATTACTGGCTGAAATATGATGTTCTTTTCCAAACTGCCTCACTGGAGCAGTCTTGACACATTTCCGGGATGAGGATCCGCTTTTCCAAACTTGTTTCCTTTTCAGTTCGAAACCCAGCAGGGCAGATAAAGCTGTATTCCAAAGGAGCAGATACCATCCTGTTTGAAAGACTGCACCCTTCCAGCGAGGACCTTCTGTGTCTGACGTCGGACCATCTCGGCGTAAGTGGCTCTGCCTTCCGGTAGCGCAGTGGTCCCTCTGCCGTCCCCTGCGGTTGGATCTTGCTTAAGAAGCACCAGGGAACTGACCGGATGGATGGCAGAAATAGGAAGCAGCCAGGGGCCGAAGCTTAGGAAGCTGTGCCTGTGAGGTCTGGAATTGGGCTGCCGCTGGTGAGTTTCATGCAGGTGGCTCCGAACCAGCTGAGGAGGAGCCACACCATGAGGGCCTTAAATGCAGCCAGTGCTCAGGGGACTTCAAGGTCACGGGAGGGGGGCTTTCCTTGGAAGCCTGGATCAGTTCTGGGAAGCGGAACTCGAGAGCTGCTTTTCCCTGGTTCTTTCATCTCCTGCCCAGGGAATTGGCTGGGGCTGTTTGGGAGCTGAGGGCAAGAGTGTCTAATGCCAGCTCTGTCCTTCAAACGAGTCTCTTATTCAGGTTCCACCATGTGTGCCCCAAACCTGTACGTTCCAAGGCCAGCAGAATTTCGTCCCGAAAGCTTTCTGAAGGGAGCAATAATTGCAAAAAAAGGCTATGTTTGCTCCATGATTTCCCCCCAAAGAGTGAGGTCCTGAGTTCACTTGAACACTGTGTGATTTGAACCCCAGTTCTTGCTAACGTATTTTTAAAGGTTTTGTTTAGCCCCACATGAACTTTGAGGGAAACTGGTCAAAACTCTCATTTTCTCATTGTTTTTTCTTTTCTCCCTTTAAAATTTATTGAAGATTTGTGTCTTTTGTCAGGCCCTATATTTAATATAAAACATTCCCTGAATCTTTAAAAAAAACAAATAAAATATAAAAACTCTGCCTTTAAGTTTTAGAAATGATGGTTTAGTAATATTGGTTACAAACATAGCTATTGTTTTTGTCTTTCCAATAGAGCATTCTTGATTTTCTTTTAATCTTTTCCAGAAGGCTGGCATAGTCATTTTTTTTAAACAATTTTTTATGAAAACAGCATTGGAATCATAACTATATGATTTTTGCCTTTACTCAAACACTAAGGCCCTCGATTTTCGTATATTCTCCTTTCATACTCAAGTACAGGAAGCCTAACTTGGTATTTTTATGTATTTATACAGAAGAGGTTTTTTTTTTGGCAAGATCGACTTGGCTTGTTCTTTGCTTCATTCACTTTATTTATTTTGCCTTCTAGATTCTGAGGTTTTAAAGTTTGTATTTAATTATTGATTTTGAATTGTTTAACGATAGGAAAAGACCTTGCTCCAGTGCTCATTTAGGATTAAGCTTGTATTTCATGCACTAATGAAATAACTTAAATCATCTGTCCTCTTTTGTAATGTCATCCTCAAGTTAACTCACTGTTCCAGTGCAGAACACAGAGAAAAGCACTGCTAGTGCCCAGTGGGGTTTCGAGCTAAAGGCGAAGAAGTGTTTGTGTGAATTAAGAGGACAAAAGAGCGTTATAAGGCAGTAACTAGATTTTCAGATCAGAAGGATACTCGGTGGTGGTCTTGGAAGGCAGGGCTTGTAAAATATGATTGCAGTATTCAGAAGGCTACCAGCTGCCTATGTGATACATTTGGGTAACTTTTCTCATGATCCGCCTGGGCTCAACAGCATCGTTGCAGTATACGCTGTCTTTTCTTCCTGTTCATCTAATTAGAGTGTGTCATGGTTTAACTTGTGCGTAAATCTCTATCTGTACCATAAGTCCAAACACAATGGGGAAGTCGTGCCCAATGGCAGGGCCCAGACGAGCAGAAATGGTTATAAAGTGCTTGGCTTGCCCAGAAGAGGCCCATAAAGTGTCCACTGGAGGCAGAGACGGAGTGGGAGGTTTCTAGAGTTTCCCCAAAGTGATCTGCGTAAGTTCCCAGCTATTGTGGTTCTGGGAGTCTAGGAGCAGCTCCCAGCCTCACATTTCCCCACTGTTGTAGAGGGATAAAGTAACAGAGATGTTGTTCGAAATCATCGGTTTACTGAGACCCTCTCAGAAAAGAATAGTTTCCCAGTCGCTTTAAGTATTAAATATTAACCCTGTAGAACACAGTTGCTAAAAAATATGATTTTAAAAAAAGCTGATCTGACTCGATGATGTTGTCTTTAAAATTTCAAAAAACTTTCTGTTACTAAAATGAAACATTCATATAGCCAAAAAGTTGCAGTTTCCTGGAGATGTCTAGAAGGAGAAGTAAATCAGCCTCTACTTCTAGTCTTCCTTTTCCTTCCTTTCTCTGTCCTTCTCCCCTAAAGGTTATTACCCAGCTATTTCAGTTGTTCTGTTTTTTTGTTCTGGGGATTGAACTTGGGACCTTACTCTTGCGAGGCAGATGGTGAAACCACTGAGCTAAATCCCTGGCCCTACCCAGCTATTTCACATCCATGAATTCACTCATTATTTATTGTTAGCTTTTGACTATGAGATTTTCCAAGCACGTACAAAAGCAGCGTTGGATGAATTCTGGCGCAGGTCTAACATGAGGGAGAGTGTGGCAAGACTAGGGAAGGGTGCAGCCTCGGTTCCTTCAGCTCCGCCTGCCTGGGTCCGAGAGCTGAGGCCCTTTGAGGGCCTTGCTCTCCATTGGAACCTGGGGCCACCAAAGAGGAATGTTCTTTTATGGGAGGGGGACTGAAAACCAGTGCATGTTGCTTCAAGTGATATCTCAAACCATAAGTATGAGCCGGTGACACCTGTAAGCCCAGCACCAAGGGAGGGTGAGGCACAAGGGTCTCATCCTGCCTGATTTTTTATGGAGATTCTGTCTCAAAATTAAAAAAATAAAAGCCAGGGATTTAGCTCAGTGGTGCCACTGCCTGCCTTGCAAGCGCAAGGTCATGAGCTCGATCCCGGTACCAAAAAAAATAAAAAATAAAAAATACTGTGGATGCAGCTCATTGGTAGAGTGCCCCTGGGTTAGATCCTTAGAGCTGCCAAAAAAAAAAAAAATCGTGGACACCATTCATCGCTTCTCAGCGGGGCCCTCTTCTGCATACATTTCAGCTGTTTTTGCCCCTCCCCTAGGGTTAATTAATTAATTTGCTGTGGCACTGGGGATTGAACCCAGTGGCAGTCTACCACTGACTTGCATCCTCGGCCCTTTTAAGAAATTTTTATTTTGAGACAGGGTCTCAAACTTGGCTGAATTCAAATTTGCCGCCCTCCTGTCTCAGCCTACCAAATAGCTGGAATTACAGGCATGTGCCTCCTGTGCGTTTTAACAGCACACAAGTGCAGTACAAGCGTTATCTCCCATTGCTGAGGAGATAAAAATGAGTTAGGATGGCCAAGTAGCTCTGTTGGGATAACACGAATCTGAGAGAAAAAAACCCTTCTCCTTCACTGTGGCAACGGGTTCGGCTGGGCTTGCTGTTTCCCAGGTTCCTAAGCCTCTTCGTTTCCCTGCAGGAGTTCGCAGGGGAAGGCCTTCGGACCTTGGCGATCGCCTACAGAGATCTGGACGACAAGTACTTCAAAGAGTGGCATAAGATGCTCGAGACCGCAAGTGCTGCCATGCACGGGAGGGACGACCAGATATCGGGGCTCTATGAGGAAATTGAAAGAGATCTGACGGTATCAGCTCTGGAGCGTGTGGGCGTGCAGCTGCTCTTTCAGACACTGAGTCCCGGTCCATGTCGGCTTTGGGTTTGCCATGGGTGGCCCTAGTGCTTCACTGGTGTTTGCAGTAGCTTCTGCAACTGGAAGCCTCCAAGATTTGAAGATAGCAGCCTCCCTATTAGATGTTAACCTCCTTCATGTTATTTTGGGTTGTTTTTTTCTCCTTGCGTTATGACCCACTGTTTTAGAGCACGGAAACTTGCTATGAAGAGTGGGGCTATAACCCTAACTGTCCAAGCCCTGGAGGTCTGATGCTGTCCGTGCTATTCAGGGTATGGTCTATGCTAGAAACCACTCTTCCCTGGAGCCAGAGGAGCTCAGGCCCTGTACTAGGGAGCACGTCTTGTTCATTTTTGGATGAGAATTGCACAGGAACCTTTTCTTTTTCTAAGGTGTGTTCTGGTTTGCTAGTGTAGGACAGTGGCAATCAGTTTCCTGGCTATGAGCCAAGGCCTTCCCTTATTTGGACCCCTCCATTGCTGATGTCTGAGAGGAAGCAGTTAAGTCAGTAGAGGCCATGGCTTCTGACCCTTGATGTTAGCATGACATGCAGCCCTAACTCCCAGGATCTCCGCCATCTTCAGTTCCTGTCGCTTGACTTCCACACGCTGACATTGAAAGTGATAGATATTATGAATATTGTGTTACATGCATTAACATAAATTATTCTCCATTTCCCACGGAAGCTACTAGGTGCCACCGCTATAGAAGACAAGCTACAGGAAGGTGTTATTGAAACGATTGCAAGTTTATCACTAGCCAGTATTAAGATCTGGGTTCTAACAGGAGACAAACAAGGTAATTTGAAAGTTGATGATAATGATGATGATGATGTTTTAAAGAGGGGGAGTGGAATTCTTTGGAAAAATTATTAAGTAGACACTTTAATTACTTAGATATTTGTCCAGTCCTCCACATAGGAAAAAGTAGACATACGAAAAAGAAAGCTCAAATAGTGCAAGAATCTACTACTTAAACAAAACCAAACTAATAAAATGCCTCCTGGAGTATATCATGGGGTCAGTAGTCAACTTTCTCTAATGTCTATGGGAAACAATGGTATTAAAATATTTAACAATTATGCCGTTAGCACGGTCCCCAGTAGAACGGATATGCACACCACTGAAGCAGGGCACCGGGGACCTTGGGTTGCACCTGTAATTTCTTGATAAAGAGGTCAGGGAGGTGGACAGGCTTTGGAGAGGCTCAGCCAAATGGTTCACTGACTGTTCATGGAAATCTCTCAGTATTTGTTCCTGCCTATTGCCCTATCTGATCTAAGGGTTGTAGGGGGATTTCTGGCACATTAGGCTTGGGTTCCAGTGGGATAGGCTGAAATCCAGGAAATGGCATTAGCCTGGCTTGGAGCTGCTGCAATCTGGAAGCTATAAATGAGGGTGAGTAAGCAAAAGCCAAAGATTAGGAGGATTGTGATATGAGAGGTCCAGCCGAGGGGGCTACCCAGGAGAACTAGGTGCATCACCAAGTTTCCAGTCTGGCCAGTTGAGCCCCCATTGCTCATAGTGTTTCTGATTGTTCTTGGCCTTCATGTGATAGGATCAAGGTTATCTATAACTTGGCCAGTTTCATTAGTAAAGAAGCAACATTCTTCCTTTAGCATGGCACAAGTAAACAAATCAAGTGGCTGCAGCTTGGGAGGGCAGCCTGGCTACAGAGGTTAACTTGCCTTTGCAGTGACTTGGTGACGTCTGTCAAGTTGATTATCTGTTAACTAGGGACAGTGCCAGGTCTCATGTGTGGACCAGAGAATGCATTAGTCCTCCTGTTCCCATCCCTTTTCCTGTGAGGATTCCTAGAAGCATCAGGAGGGAGACCGCTTCAGCCTTCTTGAAGCAACTAACTTGAATCTTAGATCCTGGAATGTTTTTGAGAGAGAGGAATTGCTCCTGAAGATTAGGAATGGCTAACACAGGGAGAATGTAAACTGGCATGTAAGTACCTGTCCATGCTGGGGGAAGGCACAGGAGAGCTGCAGTCCCTCAGAGGAAGCAGGGCTGCTCTCGAGATTTAGACAAGAGGATGGAGAGGTGGCCCCATGGTCCTTGGAGGCTCCAGTACCCCATGGGCTCCATGCCTCAGAGACTGGGTGGCTCCCTGCTGTGGACATGTCTGCTAGAGGACTGAGATGGACAGGAGTTGCTTAAGTATGATTTTAGGTTAGGAGATTTTGAGTTTGACCCCATCCTTAAAATTTACTGAATTTGAGGAGTTAGACTATACAACAGGAGAGTAGGGGGATAGTAAAGATTAAAACACAGATGAGAAAGCTCAGTCCCAGAATTGGAGTCCACTAGTGTTATGGGAGTCCTGCATTTATAGTCATATCTGCTTGTAAGAGAAGATTGAAGATGAAATTTAGAAATAGGTTAGAGTCAGAAAGGATGTCTAAGCTGCAGTCAGTAACGGCATTTAAGATGGTCTTATAGAATTTAGAGACAGGATTATCAAGCGGGTTCATGGGAGATTGAAGATGACTTAATGATTTGCAAGGCTTTCTTGCTCCTGCAGGAGAGGTAGACCAGTTGTCTGTTTCTGTTAGTTTGCCTGCTGAGGGGAGAGCCAGGACTACCTGAAATGAGCCTTTTATTGGGGTTATAATTGATCTGAAGAGGTTCCCTCTTTCTGGGTTATTAGTAAGGCCTGATTTCTAGGTGGATTTTTACTGACTCCTGTTTGCTGTGTTCTTAGGTGGCCTTGCTGTTTTTGGCCTAGATTAATAAGGCCCTGGAGCAGCTGCCACCTCAGGCTGTGCTGCCATGCTGAGGACAGGAAAGGCTTCTTAGATAGTCTTTTATATGGACTTACACCTTGGCAGTACTTCTGATTTTCAGAGAGCTACAGGGAGTAGCCTAAGCCCAGTCCTGGAGGTGTCCTGGGATAGCTTTCCCAAGGTCCTTTTATGAGTTGGATTAGCTCTGCATATTTTTTTCTGAGGACTAGGTAAAGGAGTTAAAGGTTGGCCATGCCTTGAAAGAGGTTAGTAGAGAATAAGAAGCCCTGTATTAATTAAGAGTTAAATTTTCTTACCAGTGACATCTAGGGTTGCTACCTGGGTTTTTTAGAGGTGACAAAGATATGTCCTCAGATGGAGTGTTATTGTAGAACCCCCCAGGCCTCTTTCATCTTCTTCCTCCTCGATGACAGCAATGACGTCAGATTTGGGGTACATTGGGGCACACGGGGGCTGTGTTGGTACCCTGGGAATTTGTTCTTCTGGTGGGGCTACAGTCTGTAATTTGCTTCACATCTTTTGACAATTCCATCCACTTGCCGGTCATTTTTTAGAGCATTGAGGGATTTACAGATGTGATAAATCAGTTCTCTATATCTTTGTCCAAATTATTGATTTAAAAACTAAACAGTAGAGAGTCGAACCTTCTGGTGCATTACTAGATACGGACTCACTGAAATGTGCTCTTGATCTGTGTGGGTAGCTGTTTGATTACTGCAAACATCCACAGATTTACTATTTTTTTTGGTACTGGGGATCAAACTTGGGTCCTTGCAGTTGCGCGCAGCAGGCAGTGAAACCACTGAACTAAATCCCCGGCCCTAGATTTACTATTATTTAGCTTTGATTTTTGCAAGAGATATGTTTTAGTTTATAGAAAAGATATGCTGAGATTTTATCAATTGCCTTTTCCAATTCAGGATGAATCTAACAGTTCCACAGAATTAACTAGTATCTAATGATTCTGCAGAATTAGGATCAAATGAGTCTATGGAAGACAGGAGGAGCTAACTATCCTGGGCTTGTTTCTCTAAAAGTAGAGGAAGCCTGCCCCCCAAATCATGTGTTCTACAGTTCTCTACTAGAGCAGCTCTGGGTGGTTTTTGAGAAGATAATTGGATTCCGAATTTCTGTTCATTTAATGGAAAAATGGCCATGTTGTGTGTGGAAGAACCATACATTTTTTTCTAAGAGCGTTATTTGTTGTTCAACTGGACAATTTGTGAGTTCTTTCTGCAATTTTTCTACCATACCAGAACTGAGTATTAGCCAAGTTTAGTATTTTGGCTCTCCAAAAGCAATATTTAGGGTTTCTGATCAAAAGTTTTATATTTGTACATGTTACGGTACCACAAGATCTTAGGGTTTCCTTCTGGGTGCTAATTTGAGAATCTAAAGGTAAACAAGAGGCCAAGGTTTCACAGAGGTTGCTACTTCTCCATGGGTTAGGGAGTAGGGAATTTGATCATGGAACACAGTTGTTTGGATTTCCTTCTGGTTCACTTGTATTTTATCATTCATCGGGCTCCAACATCAACGGGGTGTACAGAGCGTGAGAAGATACAGCTGTGGCATCAAAGCTTTGATGAAAAACATAATTATACTATTAAATCGTATCTTAACTGAAGTAGCTTTGTTTTGTACCAGAAACTGCCGTCAACATCGGTTATGCCTGCAACATGCTGACTGAGGACATGAATGACGTGTTTGTGATAGCAGGAAACACTGTTGGGGAAGTGAGAGAAGAGCTCAGGTAAGAGTTGAAGGGAGGATGGAGAAGAGGGAGGTGGGAAGGAGGAGGGGAAAGGGGATATCAGACCACAGAGGAAGCAAGCGGGAAGATACACTGCGATCGTCTGCAGTCCCAGCCTGGTACACTGCTCTCTGCACATTTCCTGAAGTGCCATCATTTTGGTGACAAACTCAGACATGTCTGACATTAGCAGCAAATCATTGTCTTTGGGGCTTGGATGTCTCCTGAGACTGTTTTTTTTTTTTGGTACCAGGTATCGAACTCAGGACCTTGCACTTGCGAGGCAGTCCTGAGACTTTTTTGAAAAGGATTTTCTATCATTTACCTTGAGTTGTCCTGTAAAATTGGCTCTGGTGGTCTGGGGATTTAGCTCAGTGGTTCTGTGTCTGCCTCAAAAGCGCAAGGACCCCAGTTGGATCCTCGGTACCAAAATAAAATAAAATAAAATAAAATGAAATGAAATTGGCTCTGGAGAGTTCTCTGACTCCATTCTGACCTACAAAGTAAGGACCTCCAGGGAACAGGGCCCAGAGATCAGTATTTAATGAACAACTAGACAATGTTGATGACTAGATAAATTTGGAAGATACAGCTGTAACAGGGGGCAGGTGATGTTGGAATAATCTTTCAGCATTAAGGAAAGTAGCTATTTTGACATACTCACCAATGAACCTAGACATCACACCTATGAGAAATAGAATACTGTGACATTCATAAAACCACTACAGAGCACCAGAAAATATATAAGTACTGACACTGTGCTTAAGAGTGGACAAACATTAAACTTAGAGAAATGAAATTTCCAAATATCTACCAATTTATTTTCTTTCATTGGAAAACATTTAAAAATCTATATAATTATTTCCCTAGCATTTAAAAATGCTGTCTCATAATCATTTTTCTTGCTACTGTTTGTAGTAGCTTCTCTAAGCCCCACTTGCTAGAGAGGCCGCTTTGGATGTCAGCCTGATTAGCTGATACTTGAAGATCAAATTTCTTATTGTTTCTATGACTTCTCTATCATGCTGGTTAGAGGCTGTGACTGGAAACTCCGTATGTCTTTGCCAAATAAAAATTGGGAAACCTAATTCATTATTACTGATATAATTTAATTATTATTGATAGTATTTTATGATTTGTTTGACAGCGCACTGAAGATATTTCTGTTGAAATTCTGTTGAGATCATTTTCATATAATTCTAATGATGCAGTCCATAAAGGCTCTTGGGGAAATAGTAATAACTTAATAAATAACTAAAATTTTTAAAATGTTTCCTTTAAATGATGTTTTGTTCTGGGGAGAATTTGACTCTTGCTGAGAGAAGATAAAAATGCAAGCAGACCTGGGTTCAATGAATCCATGGTTAAAAGTTTTAAGGGCCTGTCTGAATAGTACCATGAGCAGTACAGATCTATATTACTTCATTTCATTTTCAAGTGACCCATCAGTCAGCATTAACATTGTCCCTCTCTTACAGATTAGGAGATTGAAGTACAGATGAGGCAGTAACTTGCCCAAACTAGTCAGTGGCATAGCTGGGCTTTGAATCTCAGCAGCCCGTGTGCCTCATCACTTGTTGTATGTTTCCCTAAACACACCTTCAGCGTTGTCTTCCTCTCTTTGATGGTTAATCCAAAGAATGGAGTTGTTGGGCCTCTCGCTGCCTCCCTCGCTTGAGGGAGTGGTCAGATACCAGGTTAGCCACCAGGGCCTCCTGAGGTAGGAGGAAGAGTGTGGACTTCCTGTGGGCTGGATTGGAGTGGGAATCCCACAGTTTCTTGCTCACTGGCTGCCTGGGAGCCTTTTGATATGTTCTTTAAACTCTCTCTGCCTGGTTTCCTTATTTGTAAAACAAGGACCAAACTATCCACCCAAAGGATTATTGTATTTGGGGGATTACAGGAGATAAAAACACAGAGCTCTATGGCTGTTTGTGGAGCTGCCCCATTCCTTCTCCACTTCCCCCTCTCCCTTCCCTCTTTCCTTCAGGCATTGATCCCAATCTTTCTGCCCAAAAATTCTGCTTTGGTAAATATTCCTGCAAGTGAGCCTGGCACCGTGGGAAGGAAAGAGTGGGATAAACTGTGCCCGAGGAAGCAGAGTAGAAAGAAATTACCTTTTTGCCTTGCCCTGTCCTATTCTACAAGACAGACCTGGAGAGGGAGCTCTTTGGAGGGAGCATGGAGAGGAGTTGGAATTTGACTGGGTGCAAAGAGGAATAGAGGAGCTTTGGGCATGTTTAGCTTCTCTGACTTCTACCGGCTGGAATATGCTCAGGTGTTCAAGGACAGAAACTCATCAAATTTGGGAAGACTGGTTTTGAACCCCTTTTCTGACTGATGGCAGAATAATCAAAACAACCACGCAGTCTCAGTTAAACTTAGTTCAAGTCTGGGATGAACAATGGCTTCGCCTGTTACTGCGCATCAGCGTCTAGCCTGCTGGCATCCAGCTCTTCCCATTTCCTGGTCCCAGTCCAGCCTCACACTCAGCGAGTGACTTCTACCCTGCTCCTGAGGCAGCATGTCCTGCCCCTCTCCTTTCAGAATCAGTCCTTTGAGACTTGGGGAAACTTTTCTTTTTCTCTCAGAAAATTCACTTAGTGAAATTCTAGATGTGTGGAATCAAGATGACACTGATATGAGTTTCAAGAGTCTGTGTAGGTGTTCAAAAAGCAAGAATTGGCCTTTTCCTCTCTATATGGTGATGGTTAAGTTACTATCTCAAGATTTTATTCAGCCACATTTGGTTGACTAAATAGATGACAGACCTGTCATTATGTAGAAATATGTAGAAATTCCCATTATTCATATACTGTTTGTGGGATGTAAATTGGCAGGAACTATCTAGAGGATAAACTAGCTATATATTCCAAAATTATGTAGTATACTTTTGACCCAGTGATTCCTGTTTCTAGGAATTCTCTACAAACATAAGTGGAATACAATATGAATATGCATATAAATAAATATTTATTGCTGTATCAGTTATGATAATAGTTAGAAATAGTGAAAATACTCTGTCATGAAGGACTTTGTTAAGTACACATAATGGAATTCCATGTGGTCAATGAAATTAATTATGTCTTTATTGACTTTGGAAGATGTCCATGATATTATTTTTCAAATGAAAAATGAGATTATGAAGCATCATGGATAGTATATTCCCTTTTTGGCAAAATAATATGCATATATAGTACTATATGTATGTGTACATCTATAAAATACCATATGTCTATTTACCTACTTTTTTTTATCAAACCCTGAAAACATATACAGCTCTCTCTGGTTAATAGAATTATATATCATGTTTCCTTTCTTCTTTATGGTTCTTTGCATTATTTGAAGTTGTAGTAGTGTTCATGTCAAACCTTCATAATTAGAAAAAAACTAAAGGTAAATATTTAATGAGAAGAAAAATACTCAGAGGAAAAAAATCTCCATTTAGAATCAATATGTCACAGCCCTTGTGGCCACCTTGCTCAGCTGCTTGGAAATGTTGATTTCAACCTAGATTTGGGGGAACCCCACTCCTCAAATCTAAGCGAGAGGCACTGCATGATAGAAAAGTCTCTGTTAGAGAAACCAATATACTTACAGTATGTGTTTGCTTAATATTAAGTCCAGGGAAAAAAAAGAGTACACCAAGAAAGCAATTGCTTCAAGGTGCTCTCTGTACTCCTAATCTTTGTTACTTATATCTAAGCCCTAACTTTGGAGGTGAAATATTGAAATCATAAATTTGTACCATCCCGTTTTCTTGTGTTATGCTTTTGAGTTCAGTGAAAGTTCATGCAAAAGAAAAGTGTATCAAAAGAATAGGATCTGAGTGATAGTAGCTATTGGAAGGAAATGACCTAAATGCTTATATTTAAACCTGTCAAATGTGTTTAGATTATTTCATAAACATGGATATGTAATTTTCATGCGTATCATACATACGGCTTGTTTCAAATTTAATGTCTTAAAACCATTTTAGGCACTTGGAGCCCTGGCTTAATTTTGCTGCTGTAGCTGCCTTAGTATTAAGGGCATACCCAGAAACCTACATTTAAACCCTGTTATGGTTTCTCAGAAGATTACTGCCTTGATTACATTTCGCCAATACATGTCTTCTGCCCAAAGAAAAACAGACTGAGAATGTAATTTTGTTTGGTCTGCCAGCAGAACTCATTCCATATTTCACTTTTGTAGCACTGATCACATGTTTTGTTGTTAGAAAAATTCATTAAACCATGAAGTGATTGATCTTATTGTGCCTCCAAAGTGTCCCCGTGATATACTTAAGAACTGATATTTCCTTTTTGATCAACAAGATCTCCATTGATACTTTTTGGACATCCACTGGATGGAAAATGATTGGATTGAGTGAACAGGGTTCTGAAATGCAGATAGCCCTGGGGCTGGGCAGGCAGGAAATGTTAGTTGGGTGATCTGCCATTTATGTCACCGTGGAGGGCGGGTTGGGGTAGGGTGTGGTGAGGTCTCGGTTGGTGAAGAGGAGCACCATGCTGGCCGTAGAGACACATATACTCTTTGAAGCACTGCACAGGCCCAGCAAAGTGCATTTTGGTCCTAACTCTACACTTCCAGTCATCCAGACAAAATGTTTTAGTAATTAAATTTCTCTCATAAATCGTAAATTTTCAGAGTACTTAATCTTGAGATCTTCTAGTCCACAGTGGTAGAAGCATGGTTCTGTAGCTGTATCCATTTTCACTGGTTGATGCCCAACCAGTTTGACTGGCTGGTCCCAACCTACTCATTTCTAATAATAACATTATTAATGACAGGAGCTGAATGTCTTGTAGGTCTTTCCAGTTATAAGGGATGGTGGAACTGGGCCTTGAAATCAAAATTTCATTAGCCTTCCCCTTTTCTGTACCACTGCTGCAGTAGCACTGGTCCCTTAATTCCCCTTCTGTAACTCTATCTGTTCAACCCAGAGGCAGCCTGCAGCTGACTCTACATAAACCAATTTGGTGTGGTAGACCAAGAACTAGGAGTTTGAAGTCCTGGGTTCTAGTCCTGGCTTGTCACTGACTGATCAAGTGCCCGGAAGTCAGGTAACTAAACCTTGGGCATCTGAGATATCAGGGGAAGACCTTGGGCCTGGACCTGAGTCTCCAGGTACCAAGCCCAAAACTCTAGCATTGGTATCCAAGTCTAGATTGTCTTCTATTAAACATGATGTCATGAGTTCAATCCGTTTCCTAACAGATCCTTTTAGTGTCCGAATGTAGAGTTCCTTAGAGGACTGACTAAGCAAAAGATCCTTTCTGCTGCCTTCTCTTTTTCTCTTTACAGGTTGCATACAAGCTTGCACAGCCTCTCAGTGCCTGTCTGTGCTCGTGATGGTGTGGGACTATGAATGTCACAGTCCCTCAGCTATGACTGCATGTTTACACCCCACCATTGTCACAAACTGCCCTTCGTTACAAAGCTTGGGAAACACAGGCACTCTTGTTTTAGCATTTGTTGTTTGTATTCTGTGGTCAAGCATGGTGTGTTATGCCTGCAAAAAACCTGTATAGTTCCTGTTCATTGAAGGGAGTTAGGCACAGTTTTTTCCTTCCCTCTTAATAAATTATTTTTGCAAGAACCAGCTGGTGTCTGAAGAGCTAAGTTCCAGGAATAAAAAGAAATGACAGCTACACAACGCAGGCAAGGGGGTGAAAACGTGAGCACTGAGGCTGGCCAGGAGTCATGGCCTTTGAGGGGAGAGCAGAGAGAATGTAAGCAGAACTGGGGAAACTGTCCCTCTTCTGCCTGAAAAAAGGCTTCATGTCACATGTTAGGAAGACAGTTTAGGGGGAAAAAAACCTAAGCAAATACAATTTCGGCCAACACTTTCGTGAACTTCACCCTTCTTTGGAATGCTTTCATTCTCTAGGGGAGACACAGGTTAAGTCATTTATACAGAAAGTGAGAACTTTACTAACATGGAGACCCCAGGAGATGTTTTCCCTTGGTGATTTAAGGTCCAATTTATGGGCTCTGTGGTGCTGTCAGAGAAACGTCCACTTCGAAGGCAGTCATCTCCCCTGTTTTTTTCATGATATGGGACCATAAATTCCCATTCCTGCAAGGATTCCTGGACGTGGTTATCTGCTGCGAGAGCCTGCTCCTCGCACCTAAGCAATGCTTTTTCATGTCTGCTCTGCCTTCCCCTCCCACTCTCACTCCATACATTTCACACACAACCCTCTGGCTGTGTAAATCTTTCTCTGTGGTTGTGCAAACTGGTTGTTAAGGGGTGCCATTGTCCTCGGGCTGAGGGCGTGCGACCTCTAGGTACCGGACTGTGGACTGTGATTTCCGTCCTGGACAGCGGAAGGAGATGTTGAGCCAGAAGAGAAGGTGTGTTGTTGCTGTGTTTTGGGGTTTTGTTTTGACATTTCATGTGCAAACAATTAGCGTTACATTGCCAAATGATTAGAAAGCTGAAGGCGAAACAAGTGGCCATTGTCTCTGCAAAGAAGCCATCTTCGTGAATGTTTTTATGCTGGGTGAGTCCTTCGGGAACCTGTCTGTTCTGCCATAAGCCAGAGCATTCACCATCTAGCTTATCTTTCACTCCCCATTTTCTTCTGACCATGCACCTCACGGTGCCCTGTGGACTCCAAGGTCGGTGGCTGGCTGGGGCACTGATCTTGGGGGGCATTGGCTGGTAGGTCGTTGGCTGTGGCTACAGCTTCCATAGTCAGCTCTGTTTGCCCTGGGACTTTAAGTCCTGTCACCCAAGGGTCCTCTGAGGGAGAAGCTCCCCTCCTTTAGAGGCATCATCTTTGCAATGTGAATCTTGAAATGTGCCATCTAGGATAATTATGCCACTGATAAGATGGGTTGGATGTGGGCCAGATTCTTCTAGAATTCTTGCTAATCAGATTCCATTTGGAGTGAACCTCTACACGTTTGTGTCTGTAGTTACTTTCTCAGAGGATGAATTCTGTTGTTCAGTCTGAGTACAATTTTTGCTTAAAGCATTCTATTTTATAATGACTAGCAAGTACCACTCATCATTTGTTTTTATTGTCAATTCTTTTTTAAAAAATGTGTTTCTCAGAAGACTGGATTATATTACATTGTACCCCAAATATATGAAATTCTTAGATTTCAGCAGTTGTCTTTAATTTTTTGCTTTCCATTATTTACTGGTTCTGTAGCCCATGTATACCAAATCTATCAAGCACTCCTAGTCAAATCCAGCTCAAGGTGGAGATTTCTAGGTAATATAAAGCATTTGAGATGACCCTGTTTTTGTCATGTTTACCTGTCCATTTCCTGCAGTTTAGAGGCTTGCCATGGTCTCCACATCCCAAGAAACTACGGGCCAGCTCCCTGAAACTGGATCTTCCCTCTCTGGCTGACGAGTGATGGAATGCATTTGCCTCAAGGCCAGGCTCTTGTTAGAGTTGAAGGCATGCTCTGTGTACTTTGTTGTGATTTTCTTTCTCCCCCTTGTTCTTTAAGGAAGGCAAAGGGAAGTTTGTTTGGACAAAACAACAGTGTTCTCAATGGCCATGTGGCTTGTGAAAAGCCGCAGCAGTTGGAGCTGGTCTCGGTTGGAGAAGACACTGTAACAGGAGATTATGCCTTGGTCATAAATGGCCACAGTTTGGTGAGTCCGCTTCAGGCTTTTGTGCTTCCTTTGTCTCTACCCCAATAGCCATCTCTTTGTGTTGTTACAGTAGGAGCTGTTCTTCGTTTCTCAAGCAAATGACAGTACAAGAAACAGGGCACACACGATGATTTCCTGTTGCAAAGGGAAAGGAAACTTCTAATATATATTTCATACATTATTGCTTGAACTATCACAGTGGAAGGGGGAGGCTCTGAAGAAATACTGCATTCACAGAATATCAATCTTGTCTAAATGATTATGGACCACTTAGCAGCATTATTTAAGTGCTTTTCCAAGGGGGAGTATCACAGTTCTCTGTTATTTAATTAAAGTAAGGCAACTTGGTGGATGAATTACAATTATTGCTTTGTCAGTGTTTGTGATTTGCAGAGCATAACCCGACCTTCATATAATTACCACACCAAATTATTGCCATTAAGATACCTCTGGTGGTTTTTCTAAATAGCAGTGTTTTACGGCAATGCCAAACAATTTGCTTTGATTAGGAAATCTGGTTCTTGTCATAATAGAATAAACTTGCATTGTACTTTTAATGTAGTTCAGGTTCCAAGTCTTGAACAAATATCAAAACACTCTTCTGAGTTTCTAATTTAGAATACAAAAGCTCCGATTGCATTCTAGTGAAATTATCATTTATATGTACAAAGAATTAATCTCACATCTTTCCTTGGCTTTGAGGATCATTTTTCATTTTGGAGTTTGGAAAATAAATGTTTCTTCCGCGGACATTTTCTTAGAGGACAAAAGAAGTTGGATACGAATATATTGTATTTCCCCCTTGTGATCGTTGGTCTGTTAGCTCTTAGTTCTCAGCACATTGTCCAGCTGGATTCCAGACGTAATGATGTGCTGCCTTCTACACCATGGAAAGTTACAGAGCTCAATTCCAGGCCAAGCTCAGTCGAAAGTTTGTCCAGATGACACGAACTTCTCCCTTGCACACATGAGCAGCAACTGAAAATTATAAGGCTGTCAGCTGGGGCTTGGGGCTGGTGCCTCCAACTGGAATTGCCCAGGGACCAGAGAATGGAGAGGGCCCCCAGGAGCTGGGCTTAGAATTCTCTCCAGGCTTACAGAGGCCTAAGTGTGTGGCTGAGAGTGCTCAGGTGATCATTCGTACCAGTCATGCTCTCTGTCTCTGAATTTTTTGAAGGAAAGAGCTAAGACAGATGCTCTCCAGGAGCCCCTTAGCTTCAAAGCCTGACTCCCAGGAAACCATGCAATGCTATTTCATTTATGGAGTATTGACTGTGTTTTTGTTGGTAACATCAGAAATCTTTTTATAATCATGATTCCAATTTGCTCAAACCCTGCTCTGCAGAATGTAATTGGGCCTCTCTTTCTCAGATCCGAGTCTGGTTTTTCACTTGTTCATAATGAAGAAGAAAGAACAGAGTCAAAGGGGGTCGCTCTAAGGAAGACAGCCAGTAACGTGGTTTCCCTTTCAGAAAGGATGATTACATCTGAGAATGCTAGCACACAATTTCCTTTAGGAGTTTTAGGCTTGGGTATGATAATTTTCTACACCAGAGTTGTGTTTCTGTACTCATTCACCCAGACTTCCATTCATCCCATCAGCGATTATTAAACACGTGCAGGTCACAGTGTGTGAGTCTGACAATGACCATATGAATAGAACTCAGTGTTTGTCTTAGGGATTGCTTGTAGGAGTTTGTCAAACATACAGCAAAAGAAGAATGAACATAGAACAGGAACAGACTCATTTAGTTCCTTGTAGAAAAATCAAGGAAGACTCTCTGAAGGAAGTGATGTTTTCAAGTAGAGATGCTAGCAAGGACAAAGGCAGAGTCCAAACAAAGCCTATTAAGTCAAGGGAAAGAAGCAGTTTGGGTCGACAGGAATATAGGGTGGACTTAAAGGTGACCACAGAAGATAAAACTCAGCTGGAATGGTTGGGCCAGATTGTAATTGGCTGTGAATGTCTTGCTAAAGAGTCACTCAAAGATACCTGGAAGTTTAAGGGGATTTGTGTTTCTTCTTAATGTTTTTATTCAAAACTGTACAATGACATGTTTTCTAGAAAAATAATTACACAGTTAGTTGAAAGGGATTGCATTTACTTTCTAGTAACTTCTCTAGCATATCTAAAGGCTCTTACATATTTGGATATGGACAAGAGAGCAGTGCTTGGGGAACCCTGTTCAAGACAAAGGCTGCACATCACCCTTTTGCAGCACCCTCTGCCTTTGGTCACGTTGTTCTTCAAGGGTGAATCTGCAGATTGTTGGCTTTTCATCTTGCCTGCACATTAACAGCCAAAAAACAAACACCAAATATATAAAACAACAATACAAAGGAGACAAAAAGCCAATCTCATAAAACCAACGAATCACCACCATTTATAGTTCACCTTAAACTTTTGAGATGGTGAATAGTTCCACCCTTTGCTTTTGCTAACGTTTTTGGGCTCCAGACCTTCTCTGACATCTCACCAAGGCAGCATGGGAAGGTGTCAAGGAGGACATGTGAATGAGCAGCAGGGTCTTTTATTTTAAAATCCCTCGGTGATTACCCCGAGTTCAACACTCATTTCTTTTGTTTTTGTTGCCTTTGTGACCATGAATCAACAATGACTTGTTGAAATGAATGAAATGAAGTCAGTTAAATGAAGTCAGCTTTAAAAAGTCAGTTTAAAAACAGGACATTTGCTTCCCAAATTACAGCTCTGAGTTATTATGGCCTGTTACTTTCTGGATTTTTCTTTTTACTCTTCCAGGCTCATGCCCTTGAAAGTGACATCAAGAATGACCTCTTGGAGCTTGCCTGCCTGTGTAAGACTGTGATCTGCTGCAGAGTCACCCCGCTGCAGAAAGCCCAAGTAGTAGAGCTGGTGAGAAAGCACAAGAATGCTGTCACTCTGGCCATCGGTGACGGAGCCAATGATGTCAGCATGATAAAAAGTACGCGGTGTTCATTCAGTGGGGCATTCTGCACACCCAGGGCCCCCAGTTTCAGCATCTGGTAATGTGTGATAGAGATTTCATTAAAACTGAATTTTGCAGTTTCTTAGGTCAGTGATACTTTCGAATCCAGTGCTTCCACCATTATTACCATCCGTAAGAATGTTTGTGTTTAATGAAATCATTTGTGTACTTTTAGATTAGAAAAGGACATTGGCCACCTTTTACTATTGGGGGACCTAAGTGGCTGCAGTGTAGATGAAAGAACACTGCCCGAGTTTAACTCCATCTTTACTGTTTGTGAATTGTAAATCCTTAACGGAAGTTACTGGGCTGTCCTCAGCAGTTTCCTCTTACGTAAAACTAGGGTAAATACCTAGTTATCGCTAGTATTTTATGAGATAATATGTGAGAGAATTGTAATTGCTTCAGCTGTAAGTTAAATGAGAGATGTAAAAGAGCAGTGATACGTTTCTGGAAGAGTCTGTCTCTGTTTGGGGAATGAAAGTGACTCTCTCTTTGTAGCTGCTCACATCGGCGTCGGCATCAGCGGCCAGGAAGGACTTCAAGCAGTCTTGGCCAGCGACTACTCCTTTGCCCAGTTTAAATACCTGCAGAGGCTTCTCCTGGTGCATGGAAGGTGGTCCTATTTCCGAATGTGCAAATTCCTGTGCTATTTCTTCTACAAGAATTTTGCGTTTACACTTGTGCACTTCTGGTTTGCTTTCTTCTGTGGTTTCTCAGCCCAGGTTGGTGAAAAACACTTTTGTTCCTTCCATAAGATCCCATGAATTGCTAATGGCTCTCCCTCATGGCTCTTTACTGATAAACAGAGAGCAGCATTATATGCCTGATCCACGTGGCAGTATGAGAGTTGTATAATTAATACTTGATGGAAACTTGGACTCTAACCTGAGAAGAATCTGTGATTAGCAGGAATTTACTTGTTTGCTCTTGTACATAGTAACTAATGAGAACTCCTTCCTATGTGCTGTTTAGTTTTTATTGAAATATTTTGGAGTGTTGACAGGTAGCCTTGCTGAAGATTTTCAATTTAAAACCAATGTTAAGAGAGGAATTGTTGAATATCTGTTGTGGGAAGATGGGGATTTAATCAACACATTGAATGTACCTGGGCTCAAAATAAATCAGTTTTAGTTCAGAGATAAGAAATTGATCACCCTGACTTCCAGTTTCGATAGCAACTCATTGGCTAAAAGTTAATGTACAGATAATGTTAGTAGCAAGTAAGGAACGTTAGCAAATTCACAAGTTAGAATGCTATTTTCATTTCTGCAAGTGGCTAGCAACTCAGTTTGGATCACATACACAGACTACACATTTTACTCTTCTTCCTCACATATCTTTTGATTTTGATGTCATACTTGGCATCACTTTATAATTTGTAACCTCAACATATTATTGTAGTTTTAGTTGTTTTTGATAGTTTGCCCTTTTCACCTTTATACCAGAGATAGAATTGATTTAAAATCATTATTACTGTATTAAAATGCTTTGCACTTAACAGCGTACTTACTTTTACCAGTGAATTTTCTACTTTCACATATTCTCGAGTTACTAATGACCCCTCCTCCTTCAGCCTGAAGAACCCCCTTCATCATTTCTTATAAGGGCAATCTAGCAGTGATAACTCTCTCAGCTTCTGTTTGGCTGAGAAAGTCCTTGCCAGTTCTTTGTTTTTGAGAGACACTGTCCCTGGAGATAGTATTCTTGTTTGGCAGGTTTTCTCTCCCTCCCAGCTTTCAAAGTTTCTGCTAAGGAATCCACTGATAGTCTCATCCCTTGTACGATTTCCTTTTCCCTTGATGCTTTGAACACTCTTTGCCTTTCACTTTCTGTTGTTGGTGTTGTTTTTGGGTCTAGTTTGTTTCTTCCCCCCAAATCCAAGGCCTTATGCATACAGTATGTGCTCTACCGCTGAGCTACACCCCAGCCTTGTCTTAACTTTTGACAATTTCCCTGTAGTGTGTCTGGATGCTCCTTGGATTCATCTGATTTGAGGTCCTCTGGGGTTCGTGGATCCGGTTTTCTAGTTCCTGCCCCAGCCATGGCAATTTCTCTCTCTGAGTTCTTTGAATATGTTTTTTGTCCCTTGCTTTCTTTTTCACATAAGCGGCTCAAGCCATCTTCACTCTTTTTCCCTCTTTTTCACTTTATTCCTGCTCTGCTGACCCCAGGAGCATCTTTCTGGCCATTATTTTGAATCCCCTGTCAGGTAAATCACATATCTTTGCATCATTTTGGTCACTTACTGATTTGTTTTCTTCTGTAACCTGGAATTCATTCCAGTGTTTCTGCGTCTTCTTTGGCTCTGCATTGGCCTTGCGCACGAGATAAGGCGTCTTGTCAGACTGGCCTCTAGTAGGAGAAGGATCTCAGCAATTCATCCAGCCAGAGATTTTAAGGTGTTTTCCAAGCCACTGCCAGCACACTGCTGTCTGTTTATTGTGTTCCCTGGACACGAGGATGTCCACATCCCATCAGCACCCTGCTGGATTCTCGAGATGCAGCTGGAAAGGTTGGTGTGTTTGTTGTTTGCTCCAATCCCTTCTCTCTTCACGGTGAAGCAAGGCATGAGCATATATGTCCACCTTTCTCTGCACTAAGCCAGGGAGAGGATTTGAAAGGAATCCCTGAACCCTTGTGTGGGCTGCACCCCCAGATCCTGGGGGGAACAGCTGCTGGGAGCAGATCCAATGGACACCCTCTCTATTTTCTGTGGTCTAGGACCACTCAGGAGTGCCAAGCCCCCTGCCTCCCAAACCAGCATGAAAGGCAGTGCCTTGGGTGGCCTCCATAGGCGCTGAGGGCCTCAGTGTGTGGCCACCTCCTTGCAGGAAGAACGGGCAGCCTGGTTTTGTCAGGGTCGAGTGGAGGGAAGGCCCATGACATGCCAAGCTCCGGGCCTGGTGCTAACAAGGCTGTTGTTTGTTTGTCCTCTTGGCTCCGTGATGCAATTTTTTTGGAAGTCAGGCTATGAGCTCCTCCCAGAGAGCACGGGAGCTGCGTGTTCCCACCCCTTTCTGCACTGCTCTCTGTGGGTGCATCCCTTGAAGTGTTTGTGTACACATGGAAACAACCACCTTCTCCCATGATCCCAGGAGACATGTGAGTGCCTGGTCCCTCTTCCCAGAGCTGGGAAGTTTAGGATGGAGGCCTTTGGGAGGAGCTGTAAGAACAGGGACACTCAGCGTGCGGCATAAAACCCTTCTGGGGAGAAACAAGAGCTGCTTTGAAAGCATGTTCTCTGCACTTCTTCTAGGGGAGGCAGCCTGTGGAGGGGCATGATCATGTGGATGAAAGCACCACTGTTTTCCTGGTCTAGAGAGACTTTCATGTGTTTGATCCTCTCCACTCCCAGACTTAGTGAATTGAAATTCCATCTGACCCAGCTCTGGCTATCTTCCCGAAAGAGTAAAAGATGTCCTAACATGACAATCCATGGATACCCATGCTTGTAGTATCACAACTCAGAACAGCTAAATCTTGGAAGCAGCCTATGGGTCCATCAGCAGATAAATGGATAGGGAAAATGTGGTATTTATACACAATGGAATACTACTCTGCCACAAAGAAAGATAAACTGGAGTCATTTGTAGGAAAATAGATGTACCATGAGTCCATAATGCTAAGTGGAATAAATCAGACACAGGTTAAATATCACCCTGTTCCTCTTATATGAGAAACCCAGAGGATAAATAAGGAGCAAAATAAAAGAAAGATGATAGGAAACCAGGAGATAAACTTTGTGGAGATGGGAAGGGGGTAGAGGGATGGGGGAAGATAGAAATGAGGGGAGAAGAACATATTCATTGTGTTTCACAAACATATACTAATAAAAAAAGTTTAAAAAAGGAAAAGAAAAGAAAGCCAAAGCATAGAGCACCTCGGAGTTAGGGTGCTGTATGTGAAAGCCAAGCCCTGTGGACCCAGGGAGGCTGGGTTTGGGGGGTCTCTTTCCCAGTTTTTTGGCCCAGTACCCAGGAAAGATCCACTGGAGTTGCCCATTTCTCCGCACTCATTGGATGGCTGGAGTCTGTCTTTCTCTCCGAGGGGATTGGGCCATGAGTGGATGTGCTTCTGGTGCCCACACGGAGGAAAGAAGAGTCGGGAGCCTCCTGTTCTACTAAAGGCTGCAGGTCAGAAAAGTTTTCACCCTCAGCATCAACTGTGAAATCTGAGAACCATAGCATTAAAGTACCTTTATGAATAAAAAAGAGTGTTTGCAGAACGCTTGAATGTAGACATGTCAGGGCATTAATATTTTCGAATAATGACAACAGAAGGCAAGATAATCTTTGAGAATGAAATGCTAACTATAACTCTCTTACTGCTTTCTTCTATTGTTCTTTCTTGCTTGGAAGGTTTAATCAATGACATTAGTTTCAGTGATGTTCATAAAGCTAACTTTTTCAATCATTTTATTGCTAAAAGACTGCGTGTGAATTAAACAGTGGCATTTTGTGTTCTCTTAAATGAGCCAAGAAAGGTTAGCAAAGCCTTTTTGTAATCGAAGTATGTTTTGCATGGTTTTCACTTTTTCTAGGAAGTTGAGATTCCTTAAAGTGAGGCACACTTTTATCCATTCCTAAAGTTGTCTTTTAAGAATAACATGCCTGGAACTAAAGGCAGAGTGTGTTGCTATTTTTGCCATTCTGGGTAATCTCTCGACAGCGCAATTAAAGCAGGGTGTTGATTTTTGCTTCGCAGATGGGGATGTTGTCTCTGCTCCTCCACAGCAGGCTGGGGTCAGGGACACTCATGGGCTCCAGATTCCACCTCCATCCGAAAGAGTCATGTGTGGGGACGTGGCCTGGGCCTCCCCAAGCTGGTGGCCGTCCCTCCACAGAGCAGCAGAGCAGACTATTTGCTAGGTGGTGTTTCTGAAAGATCTAACCTTCCTATTCCAAAGAGTGATGGCTGAGAAATCACAGAACTTTGAAAGGATAACTTTAACTTCACCTAAACTTGTTAGGATACAGAAGAGTACTTGATACTTGCATTTACAGCACACTAATGTACGTGTAGTTAAGGCTACTGCCAAGTGTCTTTATCAAAGCAGCGAAGCTGAAAGCAATGTTCAGTGACTTCTCACCTCTACATTTCTGTTAATTCTGTTGTTTTCAGGATCTGATAACATTGGTCAGTCAGAAGTTAAGCAACTGGATTTTAAGTTCTTTCGCCAGTCTTCACATTTAAAAAGAGAACAATAATTGCTGCAAAGACAGGAGTATCTGAGAGTTGACCCTCACTGTAAGATGTACACTTGGGTATGACTAGGTTTCTGAATGTAACTTGGCATGTTTCTTTTTTGTGTTCCTCCTTTCTCTTTCGTTTTCACACTGAAAACTCTAGTCATTGCACAGCCCTCACTTGGAATCCATTGTCCATGCTGATTGACCCTGTTCCTTCCGGCGCTGGTGACCTGCCCTGGACCAGTGGTTCCCAAGCTTTGGTTTATGCGCTTGTCCACGCACAGCTTGCTATGTCCCAGCCTCAGAGTTTTTGACTCAGTCAGTATGAGGTAGAGTCTGAGGACTTCCGAGCCTGACAGGTCCCCTGGAGAGAGCAGGGTCCATACTTGGGGAGGGCCTGTGCTGGACAGCTGAGAACACCCTCAGGTCTGTTTCCTTGAACTCAGAACCCAGAGTGACACCCAAGCCTCCATCTTTATTCTGTCTGTGCAGGACCCCTTCATCTTCCCCAAGGCAGGGGCATGGGGCAAGCAAACAGTAGGCCTCCACATACCAGAATTTTCCAGAGGATGCAGAGTCCCCTCATCCTTCCCACCAGGTGATTGTCCCCAAGGTGTAGTATACCTGTCCCAGCCTGCACCAAGACAGGCTGTGGAGGGAAAAAGCATTATTTCAGGGCTGAAGATGGCATTCTCCAGCTTAGCCAGTCTATCGTGGTTTCATCTAGTTTACCCGTGTTCTCTGCAGGAAAACATGAGTGGTGAACAGTGCCTGGCATATAGAAGTGCTGTGGTCGTATCATGGTGCTGGATGTTTCCGGTGCAGCAGGAGAGCTTTCTCCGGAGCTCTCTGTCTCCCGTGCCACGGCCCTTCCTGCACTTGCCCTGTCACTGCAGGCTCTGGGTCTGGGCTGTGTCAGTGTGTGCAGCCAAACAACTCCATGAGGAAGGAGCTCAGGGTCTTAAGTACTGCCTGTGCTGAGGGCTTTAATTCCAGATCACACGATCTTTCCCATTCTGAGAATATGAATATGGTACAATAATCAACTAAGCCACAAGGGATGTATTTCTTAATTCTTTATTCATCAGTTTATCCAAGGAAAGTCATAGATCAGCTTTCTCAGGTTTATTTTGCTCTGAGTGGGACTTGGCTGGTTTAAATTGGGCAGGACACACCCTCTTTAGGCAAAGGAGCAATCATTACGTTAAACTGAGTAGGAATCCTAGACTGCTGCCTGCCTGCTCCCCCGCCCCCCCCCCCCCCCCCCATCTCTGTCTCTGTTTCCCTCTCTCTCTTTCTTTCTGTACCGGGGACTGAACCTAGGGCCTTCACACTGAGCTAAATCTCCATTGCTTTTTAAAAATTTTGAGAAGTCCCAGATGGGACTCAAACTCACAATCCTCCTGCTCCAGCCTCCCGGAGTTCTAGGATTACAGGTGTGCACCACCACTCATTATGTCTTTTCTATTCCCTGTTCTTTTTACTTGAAGGGCTTGATCAGCAAGCAATTTAATTATGAAAGGTGTTTTGAAATATTTTCTTAGCCCTGTTTTTCTGAGGACAGTATACTCTCATTGAGGCAAGGGAAAGAAAGCAACATATCGGGGAGGAGCGTACTCTGCAGAGAATTTGTGGGTGGCCCTCATGGAAATCCTCTAGGCAGCTTGGGCCTCCACAGGTGGGGTCTTCCCCCTCCTGCCTTCTTGCTCCTCAGCTGCTTCACTGGAATCAAAGGCCCCATGGGGGAATGGATGGGGCAGTAGTGGGAGCTTCAGGGCCTTCGGACCCAGCAATGCCAGGCATCCTCCAGAGCCGTCCTGGGCAGGGGAAGCTTCAGTAGCTGTCTCTGTCCACCCCAGCAGTAGAAACTCACTGCGCTCCACAGTGCAGAGCTGACAGCCTGATGTTCGGTCATTTGACAACCATCAGCTGAGTGCCAGTTTCTGGCCAGGGACCCCGATAATCCGCAGGGACACTAGAGTGACTTGGAGGGCTGCATTTCCTGCCCTCAGAGAACTTACAGGCTGGAAATAATGCTGTTTTCATAAATGGAAAGCTGATGTTGGGTAGCTCCTCCATAGCTACATTTCTCTTGTTTCTTCATCCCGAGTCTCTTCTGAAATCAGTGCCTCAATAAGGCTTATCTTGGGCCACCCCTCCCAATTCCCAGTAGGATTCATAAACACTGAAATATTCTTCCCTACACCTCTCATCAGACTGCTTTAAAGCGATCCATTCTGTAGCTAAAAACAGCTGACCAAATACGAACAGGCTGTGTTCTTTTAGACATGCAGTTGACTTCTGTAAAAGTTTAATTAATGAAGTCAGGTGTGCTTTTTCTGTACCTCCTCAGCCCACCTTTCAGAGCCTGGTGAATTGCCTCTGGGCTGCCCTCCTCTTCTCTGACAGCCAGTGCCTGTCCTGGGCGGTGGGCTGGGCTAGGTGTCTTGGTCTGGTGGCCTGTGACATCTGAGGCCCCAGGGGGCCCAAGGGAGGGGCTGCCCCCTGCCTGTGGACTAGTGGCACTTAGGATGTCACACATGGTTGGTGCTATGATGCAGTTTGGGCTGTGCTGGGTTGCTGTACTTCCCTTTGGTCAACCTAGTCTTGACTGGAATCTGCTTTCACTGGCCTTGCTAGGTGAGCTCTCCTGGAGAAAGAGCTGAGACACAGAACCAAAAGTGTATGTCTTGTTGAAACCTAGAATTGTTGCCTGGCAGGAAACTTCAGAGAGATTGAAGCCGGATCCTCATTGTACAGAGGAGGAACCCAGGTCTCTCAAGAGCTGAGATCAGTGGTGAGCAAGGCTGGGACTAGAACACAAGTCTCTGAGGTTGCATTCAGCGTGCTATTTACTCTGGTTACTAAGTGGCTACTCAATTTGTCACAAACTCACAAAAGCTACTTTCCTTTTCAAGCTGTGCTTGCTCAACCTCTGATTAACAGATGTTTCCTTTATTTGCAATCTGAAGGAAAAACATCCAGAAACACTCAATTCCATATGACCATGAAGGAGGGCACCAAGGCTCCTGTGGAGAGAAGGCTAATGTCTTGGGTGATAGCTCCCAGAGTTGAGACCTATAGCAGGGGTGCACATTCCCCTAGGGCCCAGGTGAACGGCCTTCTTGAATCATCTAGAACCATCTGAAGCTTGAGGCCACCTTCTTCCAGCAAACACTCCCAACTGAACAGCTGCTGACAGATTAAATATAATCTGTCCTGATAAGATCACCGGCCAGATCTCTGGCCCACAAGTCTGGATAAAGGTCAGATATGTCTCTAAGCTGAATCACAGATCCCTCTTAAGGACACGCCTTATCCCAATCTGTTATTGAACCCTTGTGATTTTCATGGAGTCTACTGTGGGAGTGTGTTCACTGTTCACACCTGTAACTTATTTCAGGAGCACCCTAGGCCTCGGGACTTTTAATAAGGATGTACCCCACCCCCCAGAGTCAACAAGAACAAAAATGTAGAGGCTCTATTTAGGAAATTGCCGTTTGAATCTGTGTAATTACTGGCACTGTGTACTTGTGAGATGATAGTATCTGATGACAATTTATCATTGTCAGGGAGATACAGAGCTGTGTATTTTTAAATTTCTGCTGTGATATGGAAGCAATTATCTTGTCAAGGCTGGAAAAACTTTGGTTCTGTCAAACAATATAAGAAAACTCATAATGAAGAGTTTGGAAAGTGACGAGAAAGAGTGAGACTGATCACAAGGCTTGGATGAGTTCGTGGGCTTGGTTACCTGGGGTTTCGGCTCCACCTGGCACGGCGGCTGCCTCCCCCTGGCCTTCCAGATGTGGCCGTGGAAACCCAGGGTGGGGCTGGTGCTCGGGCTTCCTGGATCCTGCTAGTGCATTTCTGCTAATTACATAAATCAAGAGCAGATGTGCCGAAGCTGAGCACCTCTTATTTATTCCACAATGTGTTCTCTTTAAATGACAAATGTTTTTTAAGGCCAAAAAAAGTTATTATATAGCTCTCCTTTGCAACACACAGCCAGAGGGTTATGCATCTTGAAAAAACCAGTTCACACCAAGAGCTAAAAGGAGCAGGCCCTGTGGTCTTGGAGCAGAAATCCCTTTGAAACTGTTTAAGAACCTTATTAAGGCTTATATACATATGGCATTCTGTGAGTCCTGGATTCTGTGCTCTCCAAACCGTTTTTAGATTGTAACTTGTAGCTGGATTATTTTTTACTCTATATAATGTGGTTGATAAGGCTAGTAAATTACTCCCACAGAGAAGGCAGCAAGGAGGAGCTTTCCTTAAAAAGGAATACAGGGGAGTTGGAAAGGGAGAGAGCTCTCCCCTCTCTTGTGTTTCTGATCTTCGAGAAGACACTGGTGGCATGCCAAGCGGATTAGTGGCTACCTGAGGAGCATGGCTTTCTCTCTCATTCTGAATACTGAAAATGAGGAGCAGACATTTTGGAAGTGGAAGCAGTGTAGGTGATGCTGGAAGGACAGGGACTTTGAGGCATAGTTTTGTGGAGTCCCTGTTTATGTAAACAAATGAGGTCACTCAGAATCATGGTGTTGGCACCATGCAGCCAGCATAGTCTCAGGACAGACCACTTCCCACATCAGAACATCTGGTCAACCAGTGTGTGCAGAGGGGCAGAGGTAACAGAAATGGGGTGGGACAGGTCCATGTGGGTTCTGGTCTGGACTCTTGTGCCCCTCTTAGCTGTTCCTAGTCACCAAAGGAGAATAAAAAGGAAGCGTTGTCTAGGATAATTGGGTAGTTGGAAATCTCTTGCAAGGAGAAGAATCCTGACAAAGAAGAAACCATGCTTGTGGCTTTAATATCTGTGACAGTCCCTGAATCTAAATCATGCTAAGCCATTGCCCTTCCCTGGGAAAGGCAGTTTCTAATATAACTGACTCAATGTGCTTCGATAGAGTCTGAGACAAGGCCAGAATCAGAAGTGATTGATATAATTAGGTATTTGTGAGGAAAATGCTTAATTCCATCAAGGTACTCATTTTCATTTAAGTCTTGTTCTAATTTTCTATTGATTTTGTGAATGTAATAGTTTATTATCAAGTTAAATCTCTCTGATTATTGGCCCACTAAAGATTTACACTTTCATCAAAAAGTGTAATTGTTGGGAAAATGTACCTTGTGGCTCACTCATGATACACACCACTTAAAGCTTGGATCCACGCACACCTCTCTCCCTCTCCTCCTTCTTCCTTTGTTTCCTAACTTCTGTAATGACAGTGTGCATCTGTTGAGTCTCCTTTCATGGGACACTCAAAGCCTCCTGTAGTCCTCATTTTATCACTAAGGAAACTAAGTTGTGGCAAGATTAGCACCTGACACCAGCCTGCCCAGTGGGTGCAGACTCCAGTGTCCTTACCTGTAAGGTGCTAGGTTCCTTTGATTGAGTACTTACCACGTGCCAGGCACTGAGTTTCATTAGGCTCTGGGGCCCCTCAGATGCTTCGTCTCCTGGTTGTAGAAGGGAATCAGCATGTAAGCCCATGGTAGGAATCAGTGTGTGTGTGTCGGGGGGGGTGGCCTGGAACTCTGCTCTGAGAGAAAGAAGCAGCCCATATGTCATGGAAGAAATGCTGCTTATGGCTTTAGTTTCTGTGAGAGCCCTGCTGTCTGTAACCGGAAAGGACATTTCTAAAGTGAATGGTTCCATTTGCCGTGGAGAGTGGGGATGAGCAGGGCTCAGAGGGCTCCCTAGCAGACCTGCCTGGCCACCCCAAGCTGCCCTTCCAGGACCCATCAGATGTCCTAGCAGAGGACCCTTGGGAGGAGAGGTGCAGCTGCGAAGAATGGCCAGTGCATCAGGCATCAGTGAGACTTGGGGACTGATTTCATGTGGGTGCTGGAGAGAGTTAGGAATCACAGACATCTGATGTGGATGCTGGGGCAGATGAGACAGTGTCAGAAGCTAGTGTGAGGGACACAGGACGTGGTTCTGGTTAAAGGGCTGTGGGAAGAGCTCAGGTGTCAATGTCACAGATTTGAGGAGCCTAATGTATATCCACAGGGAAGGTAAATAAATGGCATTTATGAAAAGTTGTAAAACACTTCACAGCTGCTTGTAGAGCACCTTCACTGGCCAGGTGCTGCTCTGGGGATTAGGGTTCTACTTGTAAACAAGGCTGTTTCCATGGCAATTATACTCCTGTAGGATAAAGACAATCAGAAGTATGTCAGTAGAGGATTTCAGAGTTAAGAAAGCATCGAGTGATCTAAAAAGTCTCATCGAACACATGACTTGGACTTCAGTATTTAGAAGGAATCTCCCATTAGAATACTGTCTTAGTCCCTTGCTTGTCACTGGGACAAAGTACCCCAGACCCACATTAAAAGGGGAGAAGTTTATTTTGGCTCGTAGTCACAGTCCATGGTTGACTGGCTCCAGGGTAGCATTGAGTCGAGAGGGGCATAATGGGGGAAAAGCTGCTTCCTTCATGGTGGCCAGGAAGCACAGAGATGCAGGCGGCGCCCAGGAGGGAAATATGAACCAAGTCATGCTTCCAGTGACCTGCCCCTTCTGACCAGGCCCCACCTCCCAACATCAAGCCATCCAGCTGTATTGCCCCAATAAGCCATCACCTTTGACAGCCCTATCTTGGGTATGAGTACTCTAACAGAGGGCACAGCACAGGCAAATGTCCTGAGGCAGGAGAAAGCAGAGGCAGTTGGAGAAAGATAGAGTGGAGTTTGGTGAGGGTGATAGGAAGGTGAAGTTGAAGGGGCGGGCAGAACTCAGGTAGGGTTCTATTCAAAGGAGAGCAGGAAGCCACTAGTGAGTTTTAACCCAAGTAAACACTAGTGTTGTCATTTTAAATGACAAAAAAATTCTAAATCTAAAAAAAATTTTGAATCTTTACAAAAACTATTTATTGCATGCTTTCAGCTATGTCAAACAAAATAAAGAAAGAGACTTTCAGGGAACTGCCAAGTGATACCTCTGACCAAACAGGTAGCTTCCTGCAGCAGCCAGCATTGTGGACATGAAGATCCCGAGGCTGGGACTTGCTGTCCCACTTCATTGGCCACCAGTGGCAAACTTTGCGATCTCAATACCCCATCTACCAATGCTTGTCATATTAAAAAGGAACGTGGGGAAATGAAATATTTATTAACTTGTAAAAATAACTCTTGACATGTTTACATAGATATTTTTGAGAAAATTCTTGTCTTTTCCAAAACAAAACAAGACCAAAAAACCCCAAACAAACCCAAATTAATGAGAAGGGTGTCATTGCTTAACACTTTGGTAAAACTATTTGGGCTAATAAGACATCTGGGTTTCCATACCTGCTTCTGCTCTCAGCAGCTGTGATGTTACAAGTCGTATATATTCCTGAGAGGATCAAGTGAAGGGACAAATACATGACTTCATAGTGTTATGAAAATCGTTTTGACATTGTAGACCACACTTGGAAAAGCTGTGTTGAGATTCGACATTGGCCATCTTCTAGCCTTCGTGGAGCTCCGATCAGTCCCTCACCTGTAAATCGGGGACTGTTAAGAATCCTTACTCCATGGGGTCTTAGGACTCAGTGAATTAACAGCAAAGCACTTAGAACAGCACAGAGCAAGACCCTTGTAACTATCAACTATTTTTCCTTTTGTTCTTGTAATTCTGAGTGGAAACAAAAACTCTTCCGAGAAATTGCAAAAACTCATCGAGACTTTCTTCCAACTGATTTTCCCTTCCTGTCTCTCTTGCTCCAGTTGAAAAATGAGAGTTCAAACCTGGGTGCCAATTTACAAATGCTACTGTCAGATAATTGGAGGTTTTGATGCTGGCCAGTTGGTGACAAGGAAGCCACTTTGTGCCAGGCTGTCAGCTGCTGACTGTTGCGTCCACCATTGCTCCTGATTCTTTCCTTCTTAGCTCTTCTCCTCTGTGAAGCTGGTGGTGGATGAGTGGAGGGGGGAAAAAGTGATTCAGTGGCACCAGGGCCTGCTGGGGGCTGCCCACCTCAGTTTACCTGTTTTCTCCTCTGATTTTCCGTACCATAGTCATGCAATAAATTGAGGAATTTGAGGAATGACCATCAGATGCTGTCATCAAATTACTGACAATTCGTGTTAGCCCTCTGCCACATTGTTTGTTTGTTTTTAATAGGAGTGGGTGTAGTTCTCTGTCTTGCCTTCACATTGGAATTACTTGGGAAAATTTAAAACTACCAATACCTAGATTCTGCCTCCACATGTGCTGATTTAAATGGGCTGGGTGTGGCACAGAATCCACATTTTTTAGATCCTCACAGTCTCCAAGGTTTCACCAGGCTGTGACTATAAAAGGTCATAGACTTTACTTTTTTATTGTAAAATATAAAAAACTACCATAAATGTCAACTACATGATTTGTTATAAAATGAACACTTACCATGATCCTCCACAAGAAAGAGGACATTGCCAAACACCCAGGGCTCTTGTTTCTCTAGTCACTTCTTCTCCAGCTCTCTGGAGGTTACTGTTACCCTGACATTTTCTACTCCGTGTTTTGGTTTGTCTTATAATTTATGAATTATAGAGTATTAATCCCTAAACAACATGGAATAGATTTGCACATTTTTGCATTTATTTAAACCAAGTCCTGCTTCTTTAGCTAATGTTACATTTTAACTTTTTTATTCACTTGTGGTTTTGGATTTTTTTGTTATTCTATAGCATTTTATCATATCAATGCATGAGCGTCTTTGACCATGCCACTCCTGGTAGATATTTTGATTGTTTTGGTTTTGGACTATTATGGCCAATGCTGCTATGAATATTTTTGCGGGTATCATGGCACGTAAAAGTAGACATTTCTGAATATAGACAGTTAGAAGTATAGTTGCTGTGGGTCACTTTCCTGGCACTGGGACAAAATGCCTGACATCCACAATTTAAGGGAAGAGAGGTCTGTTTTGGCTCATGCTTTTCAGGGAATTCAGTCATAGTCTGCTGGCTGCAAGGCAGGAAGGGCATGGTGGGAGAAATCTCATCTCATGGAGGCAGCCAGGGAACAACAGAGGAGGCAGAAGCCAGGGATAAGGATTGACCCTTCCAGGCCGCACCTCCAGTGACCACCCCCAGCCAGTTCCCGCGCCCTGAGAGCATGTTCAGCTTTGAACACAACCGTGGAAGAATCCACTGATGAGCTCGAACCCGCTCAATCCAGTCACCTTCCACGCCCATGAGGCTTTGAAGCGACATTTTAGGTGTAAACCCTAATTGCTGGACAGTCACTCACCAGAAGGAAGAGACAGCAGCTGAGCAGAAGGCCCTTGTGGTGGGCTCTTAGGACAGGCTGTAGTTGGAGTCAGACCCTAGACACATCCCTGCCCTGGCTGCGACCTGGCCAGCAGTGCTGCACCCAGGAGTGTTGTTGACCTGTGGGAGGCCCAGCTGCTCTTGGTGGTTTTCCTGGGGGCAGAGCCAAGGTGCACTGCCTACCAAGGGTAGCGACCCTGATGACTCACTTCCCACTCTGGACCCAAGGGTGGCCTCCTGGAAGCTTGGTCATCTGCTCTACCATAGTAGGATGCCAGCTGGTCTTCATCCCACCCTCAGGAGCTGGGAGAAGCAAATAAGGGGTTTCTGGAGAGAGCTCTGATCATCCTAGGCCTGGAAATGTCAGTAAGTTCTAATTTGCTCCTTGGTCTTGACAGGTCATTCCCTGCTATCTTATTAGCTCCCTGAAGCTTTGAAGAGACGCTCTTTTGATGTCTCGGCTTTTTCTGGTTGTCTTCAGTTGGAAGTCTGGCCTGAATTGATTGCTTCGACACATGCCACCCCGCTCCCCCGCCATGAGTAGTATAGGCTTATTGCAGAGACCTGTGCTAAAATAACTTAGGGTTTCCAGGGACCACCAGAAAGCTTTCCCGGTGCCCGGATCTCTGGACAGCCGCTCCGCCACACCAAGCTGCATACTCTTCAGGTGGCTGTCGATGTCTTGTCCCATTTCGCTCCCAGTGCAGACAGGCTGTGGTATGTTCAAGTTGGCCCAGACTGGTTCCAAAGGCTGATCGTTCAATTTTCAGGAATTATGTGAGCCAGTGGTTAACCATGTGCATTATTAAAAATTAAATTATGCAAACTTATAATTTAATTAAATTCTGTGAAAAACAAAACCAAAATCCATCCACTGACAACTCATCACTTCCTAATTACTTTACCATGTTTTACTCTTTATGGCTTTGTCTTGGGGGTGTTAGGTGATACTGTGCTATTGCTCCCCTCTTCCCAACTCAGCAGTGAATGACAGCACTGCTTGGGATCCGTCCTGGGGGGACTGGAGCCTTAGGAAATTGCAAATGCTACAAATCAAGGCCTTTTTAAAAAGTCAGTTCTGAAATACTCATCCACATATCACAAGACACGGACCCCCTTTTCAAATCCTTATGGTGGTGGCAGAGGAGTTCCAAGCAGATGCAGAAGCTGACAAGGCTCGGGGAAAAGACAAAAGGGAACTTCCATGCAGAGAACTCAAAATCAGCGATGATAAATGGTCGTTCTGAGTCAAAGCTTAGGCTGCTTGATGGTAGTTCCTCATGTGGTTGCTTTGCCCAGTTTCTGTCTTGGCTATCGGTGGTAGAATTCATCTTCACTGCCCCGAGTTGGCCTCCCCTCAAAGAGAATGACATCAGGCAGCTCTTTCTGACATGAATTACAGGCCTGAACTCCAAGACACACAGAGAATGAAACAATGCTCTCCCTCACCCATCCGCCTACTCTCCTTTCCCCATCTGTTCTTTCTCAAGGTTGACTTTCCCCTATTGTCTGCCCAAGACAGTTACAGCAGCAGTACTTAGAGTCCTTCCTTCTCACCACAGGCTCGACCTTTGCCCATGACTGCTCGGCATACAGGGCAGTTCACAGCATCTCTGTTACCCAGTTCGGAAGAAACCCACCACAACCCTGTAAGATAGGCTGGGATTGGGTCTTTGAAGAATGGCCTGACTCCCCTTTTCTTCTAACATACTCCATGCCGTCTCACAGAATGAGTCTGTCCCAGAAAGCACTGTATTCAGTTCCCTTTTCCGTCAGATTTTATCTCAGTGAGACCACTCCTCACCGAAACCTTCTTTGATCACTTTATGACAGTCAAACACTTCTAAGTCTGCATCCTTTTTCCTCCCTAGTACTTGTTTTCCTCATTCATTCACCTCCCCCCATAAAATTGGATCTTGTGCGTTGCCTTTCTCCACCACCACCATTAGACTGCAGATTCCTTGACAAAGTTTTCATCTGAGTAATTGTGTAGTCACCACTGCCTAGAAGGTAGGGCCTGGCATATAGTGGCTCCTCAATGAATACTGGGCACGTGAATGAATAAGCCAGCCACATCAGAGTGGTTGAATGAGCACTGCTTTGGAGCTGGAGACCTCGGTTTTGATTTGTACCTGTGACCTCAGTCAGAAACTCTGAAAGACCCCGTTCCCACATCTCCAAGTGCCGTCAACAGAATGAGGCTAAATGCCTGTTGCACTCCCTTCCTCTGAAGAGGACATCTTCTGTAACTTACTCCCTACACTTGTGGAGGGACATTTTTCTTGTCTTCCTTGCTTATACCTAGTATAGGTAGCAGTTGGTTCCACTCTTACCTTGCTTTAAACTACTCCTAAGAAAAAGCTCTCCATTGGAACACAAGGCAGGGAGCACAGGCTCATTTTTGTTTTCCCTCTGAAGACTCTAGTAGCTCCTTTGTTTGGCGCTGAGGTCAGATATTTGGATTTGTGATAAGCCACTGCAAACCACAGAATGAAATAGAAAGCCATCATTGAGTATGAGGTCTCACTGTGGCAGCATTGTGTAGGTATCAACATACATTATCTCAGGGCCGGGGATTTAGCTCAGCGGTTCTGCCGCCTGCCCCACAAGCACAAGGACCCGAGTTCGATCCCTGGTACCAAAAAACAAACCAAGAAGCATACATAATCTCAGCTCCACCACCCTGTGGGGCAACAAAGGCCTCACTCAGATACCAGGAGCTGAAGTGTGGAGAGAGCTAGTGTCTCACAAAGGTCACAGAGCTGAGGAGAGGCAGAACCTGAGGGAGGACGCATATGTGTCCGTCTCCCAGAGCTGACTGCCACGCCTTAGCAGGTCAGGTTATTTAACCTGAGAGCCTGAGAGGGAGCGTTCTCACTAATGTGGACGGTGTTCCTCATGGGCATGTTCTTTCTTTCCAGACTGTTTATGACCAGTGGTTCATCACTCTTTTTAACATCGTCTACACATCATTACCGGTTTTAGCCATGGGCATTTTTGACCAGGTACGTATTTTTCTCTCCTTCATAGCTTAGTGTCTCTCTGACATACCTTTTAGTTGCTTCTGGCTTCTCAGCAGAAGACAAGATTCATGGAAAGAGCTCTAGAAATGCAGCTGTTTTACAGGGGGTTGCATGGGTCACAGACCCTGCTTCTCCCAAAGGGTTCTCTGCTCAGACTTTAGCCGCTCTCTTCTTAGAGATTCACACCCCACAGAATTGCTATGAAGGCTCTAGGAAGTCCTGCAGGAAGTAGTCTCTTCTATTTTAACCCAGCATTCTCCAAACTTCTGTGACTGTACTTCTGCCTTTCTTTTTTTCCCTCCTTGTCGTGCCTTTTGCTCCACACCCTAAAAGATGCTCCACCAGCCTCTGAGAGTTTGTAGAGAACCAACATGCAGTGTAGACAGGAAACCAAGGAGGCAGGTTGGGCCACAGAAAGCCTGCATGGGCAGGGAGGCACTCGGCCAGCACAGCGCCAGAACAGAAACTACGGGCCACAGGGCCACCAGGCAGTGGGACAGGAACACACAAAACCCATTGCCGAGGGCAGGAAGAGCGCAGATTTCTTGTGCTTGGAGTGAATACACTTGAGAGATGAGAGAGGAGGGAATCGATTATGAACACGGCGGGTCTGGCACGTCAGGAGCTTTGGAAGGGACTTCCTGGCTGCCCATGGGGAAGTAGAAGGCTAGACAGCTTGGTTTCCGTGGCCCAAGCAGAGCATATTATTTTTAAAAGTGTGGGCTTTTGGGGTTTTTGGTTTTTTGTCTTACTTTTAAGGAGACCAGATTTTCTCCCGGCCGTTTGCAAGGCCTCAGTTTCTGGCCCAGCGCCATCCATTTGGAAACAGATGACGCTCTGCGCCCCCTTGGGCTCGCTCGCCGCGCTGCGGGCTTGTAGTCAGACTGAGGCTCTCTTCGCCCAGGCAGAAAGGGCAGTTTGAGAAGAGCACGTTTTGGGGGAATTCTTCAACAAGTAATGAACTTCTGAAGACTTAGATGTAAAGGATTAAGAGCATTCATTTCCAAGTGCCCATGTTTACAAGTGTTTCTTTTCTTGGTGCTTTGTAGCTGCCCAGACTGTGGAGTCAAATAATAAAAATAAAGCAGTTTCTGGGAAAACATGGTTATTGTGCAACTCAAAAAAAATATAATAAAGCTCCTGCTGCCGTCAGTTGAATGTCTGGTCCTCTCCTTTCCTGCTTTGTCAGTTTTGGCCCTTACACTGATCACAGGACACAGGACACTGTTCTGGAAGGGACACTGTGATCGTCTATCAGTTTGTTCATTTTGTGAGGAGGAAGTCAAGCATTGGAGGTTCACGTCACTGTCCTCATGCCACCTAGCTGATAAGTGACAGAACTGCTTAGAGCCAGGCCACTTGGCCTTGGGGTTACTGCATTGTCCTATTGTTATCGATTCTTATTACTGTGTTTAATTTATTATTATTTTACCCACATCTGTGCAAGGATTCCTGAATGTTTTACATCCCGTTTAATCACAGGAGTGGTTCTAGGAGGGGGTGTTATGTTTGTGTCTGGAGTTGAGGAAACTGAGGCTCAGAATGGTCAAATAACAGGTCTTAGACTAGGCACTGTTGCCAGACTAGAACTCGGGCTATGGGGTGGCATGGCTTCAAAGCCTGTGCACCTCTGGCTGCTTTTCCTCCACCCACGGTCCTCCAATGCCCCCAGTGGTCGATTCTTGCCCTCCTGGTTTGTTCTGGGCACTTGGCTCTGGCACTCACAGTGTGGTGATCAGCATTACCTTGGAACTGGCTGGAAATGCAGTCTCAGGTTCACTGATCTATTGAGTCACCTGCACATTGAGAAGCATCATGCTGGTTTTTCCAGTCCTTGGTTGGTGCTAAACATCCTAATTTCTTTGTCCCAAATCCTTGGTACCTGCCATTGAATCCTCCCTGGATGAAACACATGGGTCCTAACCCTTCAGCCTCAGCCCCTTTAGGTTCTGGTTGGCAGTTCTGCCTCCAGAGCTCTGCTGCCCCCTGCTGGCCATTACTCCTCACCCTATGGACAATCACCTGGGATCCCCTGGCTACTCAGGGTGCCCTGGAATTTGGGAAGCTCCTGAGGAGTCTGCAGCCATGGCCAACTGCAGGGGAGTACAGGAAAGAAACTTTGATTTGAATCCAAGTACCTGGGTTCAAGTCAAATCGAATTCAGTGTCTGTTCCTTAAGATCTGTGTGACCGTTCATGAATTTGTTTTGGAAATTCAAGTTCCTTCCCTGTACAATAGAGATCATTTTATGGTCTTCTTCTTGAGGGATGAAAACAAGGTAGTGTCTTGTTGTGGCCCAGTGTATATTCGGGCATGCTTAAAAGGCATGTGCTATTTCTGGACACAGGGAATACAGGGCCCCTCTGGCTCTGCTCAAGCCATCCCGCCCCCCGCTGAAATTACACTCTGTTTACAGGATGTGAGTGACCAGAACAGCATGGACTGTCCCCAGCTCTATGAACCTGGGCAGCTGAACCTCCTTTTTAACAAGCGTAAATTCTTCATCTGCATGGCCCATGGAATCTACACCTCATTAGCTCTTTTCTTCATCCCCTATGGGGCCTTTTACAACGCAGCTGGAGAAGATGGACAGCATGTGGCTGACTACCAGTCCTTTGCCGTTACCATGGCCACTTCTCTGGTCATTGTGGTCAGTGTGCAGGTAACTCTGTTCCCAAACACCCTGCGACTGGCTTTTACAACTTTTCCAGTTCCAGTTTGTTGTTGGCTGATTTTGTCTACTTGTTGGGAGGAAAATAATCCTAAGAGAATACTGAGGTTTTTTTAGTTACACACTTTGAGATGAAAACAGGAAACTTTAACACAAATTGCCAGATGTGGAGGATGAATAGTAGGTGTCTGTAACTTTCACATTTGTAGAAACCTCATAATGAATCACCTCTTTGGGTTGGGCATTGTGTGTAAAGAGAAATGATTCTACTACTACTTCCTTCTCACCTTTGAGGAAGAAGAATCTTCCAATGATAAGAGTCTTCCCATCATATCTTTAAGACTTAATAACTTCCAGGTTTTAAGTGAGAGCTGACATTTATCTGGCCATGCATCTCTGTGGAATTAACTCAAGATGTTTAATGCTCTTGCGGTGGCACACCCACATCTCAAAAGTAGGGAGCCTCTTCTGGTGGAGATGATTTTTGATGTCCTGTGACATTTTTTCAGGAATATCTTGAGCTGTGTTTCTGTTTTAATGCCAGTGGTGGTCAGTGCCCTTAGACACGGTCACTTCCAATCTACTTCTATTTGTAGCTCTGGATGGACACATCAAGTAATGTAATTTCTGTTTTATTTTGTTACCGTTTGATTACCTGCTCAGAATCAGGTGATCTCCTCTTTGTCATGAAAGGGGGGTTTCCACTTCTCTGGATTCTCCTTCCAGGGAGAGAAGGGCAGTTTGGGTGTAGAGGGACAGATGTCTTTTAGTTGTTACAGCTTATTCGCCTCTATTCACATCAGGCCTGTTCCTTGGTCCAAGAGATGATTTGAAAGGCCGTAACTGAGATAAGAGGCCAATCTGAAGGAAAACACAAATGGAAAACATTCCTCAAATGGCCTTAACATTATCTGCTAGATAAGGAAGGGTAATAAATTACCTGAAACATTCATAATAGATCTGACATATGACAGACATTAAATGCTTTTAGTGAAGCTCATCTTCACAATTAATCCTACGCAGTTTGGTTAACCTTATCTTTAGGAAAAAAAAAAGGCCTAGTGTATCTTTTTCTCTGCTTCCTTTTGCTTATCCATAAATTATTTTCTTATATGTTATCTCAGCTATGTTTTTATATTAGCTTTATATTTATAAGATGTTTCCCCCATAAAGCAAACAGTTCTTGCTGCAGTTGGATACCAGAGTTACATTTCTCCTTTTTCACAATTGAGAGACCACAGAAACAATCCTATTTTAAAAACATTGCTTAGCCCCCCCCCCCCCCCCACAAATTGCAGAATGTTATGTCCCTGTCATTTGGTGTTTTTGGAGTAAGTTGTGAATTTCTTACCCTCCATGACTGAACTTGTATGAAGATGCTATCTACTCTTTTCAGAAGGGATCCACACCGAGGACTCCAAGTAACCCTTGGCCCCAGACTCAGGCAGTTTTGAGTGGTGGTGTCCAAGTCTACTCGGTTGAGGTCTTTGTGGCTATTTGTCCCCCTGAGAGCCACTCTCTGCCTTCCAGCACCCAAGGGCAGCAGGTCCTGCCCTGTCGGGTCACCTCAGGCACAACATCCCAGCACACTGGCTTCTCTCAGTGGGATCCATCAGTCTCTTGCCTGTCCTACATCTTTCCTCTTCTCTGCCTGGGACTCTCTCCCCTCTGCTTCCCTCGGTCACCAGTCTCTTCAGAGAGGCCTTCCTGGAGCCTCCTGTTGAAGTCAGGCCCAGTGTTCTCTGTGGTGAAACAGGAGTCTGCCCACTGTTTACCTCACAGCTGTCACCTCCCCTAGTAGGCGCATCTTGTTCCCTGCATGATCTCTGTCGTCTCACTGGAAGCCGCAGGAAGCAGAGTTGATGCCTGTGTTGTTCTCCCCATGTGTCCAGGCCCGGCCCATTGCCTGCAGTAGAACAGGCTCACAAAGACATGTCTTGAGTATTGAATACACGAGGGAGACATTTCAAGGACATTTTCCTTCTACTGAGTCTATCAGAAAAGGAAGTTCTTCTGCTCATGCCAGATCCCTAGGACTTAATGTAACTGACTTGTGTTCACAGATAGTGTCCATAGTTTTCAAATGTGCCCATACTTAGTCCCCAACTAATCTGAGAAGCAGACTCTTCCTGCTGAGTCAGGTACAACCATGGGCGGCCATGGAGCATGGGGACTTTAGAGGCCTTCATCAGCACAGCGCTTCGGGGAGGCCCTTCCCACACATGCACATGCGTGTGCCATCATCTAGCTGCCCACGTAGGTTAGGTTGCTTCTGCATTTTCACTATGGAAACTGACACAAGGGCAAGCTTTCATATACATACTTCTCAAGAGTATTCTCTGATTATCCCTAAGGATATATTCCTAAAAGTGAGAATTCTGGGCCAAAGCGTATAAGAAAGCTTAAGGTTCTTTTTACACATTGCCAAAAATCCTTCCAAATAGATCATTTTCAGGTGAAAGGTACAAAAAACCCTTCCCAACAGCCCTTCATGGATTCAGATCAACTCCTGTGGGTTATTTTACAGTGTTAAATTGATGACCTTTTGCTGCCTTGGAAATAATGTGTGTTGAAAAATATTCCTGAAGTTTACTATTTAAATAGGAATAAGCTTTAAAAGTCCTTTTTCTTTGAAATTAGAGTTTTACAGAAGAGCTGTAGGTACAAATGAGACAGTTTCTGACATTAACATTAAGATCTTGCATAACCATGGTGTGTTTGTCAAATCTAAGGAATTATCACTGGTGCAAGACTATTACCTGAACTGCAGACTTGGTTCATATTTCCCTAATTTTTCTATTGACCTCTTTTCCATTCCAGGTCCCCACATTGCTTATATTTGTCATTCTCCTTAGTCTTCCATCTCTGACAGCTGTAATCTTCCATTGTCTTTCATGACCTGGACAATTCTGAAGAGTAGTGGCCAGGTATTTCATAGAATGTTCCTCAGTGTGGGTCATCTGGTGTTTTCTCTGATAATCTGAGGCTGTGGCTGTTGAGTAAGAATGACAAAGAGCTAATGTTCCCTTTGTGTTGTGTCCTCTTAGGGAGCACAGTATATTAACATGCCTTGTTACAGAATTCTCACCTTGGTTACGTGGCTGTGACATCCTGTTCCAGAACTCTCCACTGTAAACTATGCTTCCCTGTTCATATTCCTTAAAAAGGAATCACGAAGTCCAACCACATTCTAGGGGAGAAAAATCAAGCTCCACTTTAGAGGACCAAGAATCAAAGAATTAGTGGTTGTATGTTAAGGTCATAACAGGTATATTTTAAATAAATAAAATGGATGTACCTTGAATCCATAATGTTAAATCAAATAAACTAGGCACACAAGCTTAAAAATAATATGATTTGTCTTATATGAGAAACCCAAAGTATAAGTACAAGTAAATTAGAGAGCAAAATAAAAGATAGACAATAAGAAATAAGGAGATAGATGTTTATAAAATCAGAAGGGAACCAAAAAATAGAGAAAGAGGTAAGGGGAGAGAGGAAGGGGATGTAAAAAGAAATAAGATGTGCCGGTACATGTACCAAATACTCACAGTGAATGTATTAGTGATGTACCACAAACATGTACTAATAAAATAAAATTTTAAAATACTTATATAACAATCTGGGTTCCAGAAAGAATAACTGATCTGCCCAAGATCACACTATGACTGCTTTTCAGACTCAGCACTAGGATCCAACAGTTTGAGCTTCCGAGTCAGTGTTCTTTAATGAAAGCATTTGTGTGGGTTCTTGTTAAGATTTGGGGCAAGCATTTCCCATCACACAGTTATTCCTGGGATGCAGGGTAATTAGGTAGAGTGGAGAAGCAGTGTCGTCATCATCATAACTGTGACACTGCCATGCAGTTGTGTATCTGCAAGGGAGGTGCTGGTCCCAGTCCTCAATAGCTGGGGCCACTTTGCCATGTTACAGGCTTGAAGTCCTCTCTTGGCCACAGACCTCATTCCACAGAGTTCCCCTACTCATTTCTCCCTGCCCTCACTCCCAAACCCAGCCATTAATTCTGAGTGCCAGGAGATTAAGGGTAACCTAGAGATGGTGCCCCAGGAGCAGATGGGTGAGAATGGAGCCTGGGTTTCTAGTACTCTCAACTCAAACTACAATGCCAGACACAAGTAAGTACTGTGAAATGAAATTAGGCACAGAGAGACACAAGGACAGTGGTTAAGATTGAACACAGGAAGTGAGGAGAACTGGGTTGAGGTACCAACTACCCCTACTCTCCTAGTTACACTCCTGTCTTGGCCTAGATGACCAATGCAGAGCTGTCCTTGGTGGTGGCCTTCAAAGGTCTCTATCATCATCACCACCATGAGTGATACTATGAATTACACTTACTATTCACAATGCCTCGGGGCAGTAGGCATTAGTGTTCCCTTTTACAGAAGAAACTCAGGGATGTTAGGCGACTTGCCTGAGGTCACACAGTAAATCCCAGAGCCAGGACTGGAAACCAGGTCTGTCTGGTCCCAGCACTGTCCAGGGCAAAGCCCTTCATTCTACAGTGGGGCTGGCTAAAATGCAAATTTCCAGAGAAATGTGCAAACAAAGCTTGCACTGAGCATAAATCAAGATAGCAGATACTGTGCCAGACACTGAAAAAATCCCATTATCTCATTTAATCCTCTTAATGGTCCCATGAAATGTAGATGTGATTACTACACATAAAGATGAGAAAATAGATGTGGCAAAAAGGGTAAGTTAGACCCAGTCACACGAAAGCGGCAGTCCAGGAGCTGAATGCAAATCTTCCGAGTCCAGTTTCACTGCTCCAGTGCCATGCAGATCTCCCTTCTCTATAATCATAAGGAGAAGCCATGGGTCTCCCCAGCCTCCTAGTAGCAACAAGGCCTGCTCCTGCTCTCCCTCTCTCTCACGAGGGGACGTAGGGATGCGAGTATCCTTGAATGACACGGGAAGCACTTTGTTCAAAGATGGGAAATGCACAGCCCTCTTTGCAGTGTCACGATTTCAATTTGAGGACCGTATGGATCCTTAGTTCTTGTCATTTTAGTATCACTCTTTGAGGAAGGTCATCATTTATCTTTATTTTGAAGAAGCCCTGAAAATGTCTATTTTACCATAGAATTCTCAAAAGTCAGCATGTAATGATTGTAACCATTGAAACTCAGCAATTTTGGCTTCAATAAAAAACCTGCTGTCTTTAATATATGGAATAATAACTTTCAGGAATTCTGTGAATAAGCTCATTTTGACAGCAGCATTAATATCTTTTCCTCACTGTCTAAGCTTGGCTTGTCATTGTGGTAACAACCCCATGAAATTTCCATGGTCTGTAATTACAGCTGTAAATCTTATATCCTTCTGATGGTACAGGCCAAATTCTAGTAGTCTCTTATTTTCTTTTTTAACATCATTTTTTCAGTCATTTGAATTATAAAATGGATCTTTAACATTTTTTAAACTATGGAAGTGTTTAAAATAAAATGAACTATTTTCCTTTCATTCCCTTCTTTAAATACTATTATAATTACCATAATTTATGTCTTTCCACATTTTTCTTTGCCTTGACACATACATTCACTCTCAACAAAGGAGGATCATGATTATTCATATTATTCTGTAATATGCTTTTGCACTGTACTAGATATTTTGAACAGCTTTCCAAATCAACACATTCAGATCTATCTCCATCTTTTTAGCAGCTTTATAGAATTTCATAATATGGATATACAGTAATTTATTCACCAGTTCTTTCTAGATACACATTCAAGATGTCTCTATTTTTTGTTATTCAAGCACTGTTACAATGCACATGCTGGTACTTATATTTTATGTACTGTAAGATAAATTCCTAGAAATGAAACTTCTGGGCACAGAACTCTGAATTTTTACCAATATGTGGAATGAAGGATATTTTATTGTTTCTAGATTAGAGAATATGTACATTTTAAACTTTCATAATTATTACTATAGTGCTTCCCCCAAAATAATAGTATTTACAAATGACAGATACATTTTAGTGTATGGCAAGACACTGTATGAAAAGGCATTAGGAAGTTCCAGAGTCAGGTGACCCAGGGAGACCCACAGCTGTATGTAATGCTACTAGGAGCAAGACCTAGTATATTAACTAGTCAGCTTTCCTGTTGCTGGGACACAATCCCCAATACCACAAATTAAAGGAGGAGAGGCATTCACTTTTTCAGGGGATTCAGTTTATAGTTCGCTGATTCCAAGGCAAAAACATGGCGGAAGGGTGTGGTGAAGCAAAGCTGTTCAGTTCATGGCAGCTGGGAAGCAGAGCAGAGGAACAGGAAACAGCACCAGAGAGGAAGGGTAACAGGCCAGTTATCATAGTCAAGGTCACACCTCTGTGATCCGCCAAGACACACCCAGAAGTGTGCTCTACTGATCCCCTCAGTGTCTCCCAAGCCAATCATTTGACACAATTAAGCTTACCTACCACATACCCCTTGTTGGATTTGACAATCAAAAATGTCTCCTTAAACAACACTTAATCTTCAGATAAACACAATAACAAATTAATAATTTAACAAAACATGTTACGACTGTCCTGTGGACAACCAAGAGTACAATAATGCCTTCCCCAAAGTCTCAACAGTGCCAGTACTTTTCAAAAGTCCAAGTCAAAGACTCTTCTGAGACTCAAGCCAAACTCTTAGCTGTGAACCTCTGTAAAAATAAAGTTAAAATTACATAACTCTAAGATACAGTGGCACAGGGTAAACATTCTCATTCCAAGTGGAGGAATGAGATGACAGAAAATAGTAGGACCACTGAAACACAGTAGAGCAAACATTAAGTCCTGAAGTTCCATATCTGGCATCCAGGGCACATCATGGTAAGATATGATATCTAGAGAGCAGGGGTAGCCCCACACCTATAGCTTTACTGGTTACAGCCCACATAGCCTCTCTCTTGGGCTGGCTCTACTCACTGCTTGAAGCTTTCCTCTGCAGAGGCACCACATTCCTGCCATCTCCATCTTTCTGAGATCTTCCCTCCACCTTTGGTTTAATTCCCACAGGTGCATGAGCATCTGCCTCTCAGGAATATATTATCTGGCCTCTTGGGCCTTCTTTTGAAATCTGAGTGGCTTCATTTCCTCAGACTTCACAAATATCATCAAAATGTATCTTTTTTCACTAATTTCCCTAGGATTTAGAGGGCCCTCTCAACCTGAAACTCTATGCTATTTTTTATCACAGAGCAGTTTTCTTCTGTCATTTCTTTGACTCACTTTTCTACTTGTTCCTTTTTCTCTTTCTAAAATGAAATTAATTGTATATTAGGCCCATGGCTTTGACATCTATGGATTTGAAGATGATTTTTTTTTCTCCAGGTCTTTATTCCTCATTATGAAATACTATTTCCATTCATTTATTCCAGAATATTAATGCAGTTCTTGTCAGGGACTATATTCTATTTGGTTTCTCTATTAAATTTTTAAATTCAGTGTTTTTTTCTTCCATATATTTTATTCCTGTGATCTAATTTCATCTTAAGAGGTCTTGTTACATTTTATTGTTATTTTATTGCTTGTCTGCCTCTTTTCTTTGTTCTGTTTCATAAGAACCACCTGTTCTGGTTTTTATAGCCGAGTCCTTTTACATGGGTTATGTTTTTTTCTTTGCCTTACCCACTCAGATCAGACTGTTGTTGTCTCTTGAAGATGACAAACTCGCAGGTGGTGAGAGATAGAGTTGGAGATGTTGGTCTAAATCTAGGCAACCAAATGAACTAGACAGAAAACCATTCTCTCTTGGCCTAGGCATGGATAGCAGGGCTCTGTTTTCAGGGATCTTGAGGAGAGAAAAGGCTGGCCTTTTATAACCAGTGCAGTTCACATTGAAGGCTGCCAGCACTCTTCTAATGGGGGAACATTTTGAAGGACAGTAAATTGCAAGTGGGAAGGAGATGGATGTCTCCACATGTTGTGAGGGGTATGTTTACTCTGCAGGTAGGGCCCCATCAGGCAGACAAGAAATCTGTGGTCCTTCCCTGGGCTCTGCTAGAAATGCAGACCTCCACTTGGACTCGCACCACTTGTGACCTCTGAGATGCAAATAATGACCCCAGACTCTACTTTTTCTCCTCTGGACAATTCAGGGATTTATATTTTCCAGTAGTTCACTTAACTGTCCAATCACACCCCACTCTTCTTTCAGCTGAGCTGGCATCTCACATTATTGGAAGGGAGATGTGCTTTGAACACACTCCCAGGTCACCCTGAGTTCCAATTTCTGAGTCTTATGCCAAAAGAGGATTAAGGATTTTCCTTTGTTATGATTTGAGTACAATTCAAGGAAAAGATCACCAAAATAAGTTGGAATGTTTATGTAAAAAATTATGCATGTGTTAAAATGGTCATGTGAAAATTTATGTACAGATTAAAAACTGTCACACTTACTCAGTACAGAAAGATTTTTTTCCCCCCTGATAGACAAGTTTGCAAGCAATTTGGAAAGTGACTTGAAAAATATAAAACCATCTTGTTTTCTTATTTCTCATGTAAGAAAATCTCAATATTTTATCTCTGGATACTTCATCCACACTTGGCATATATGATGGCCTACATATATAAACTCTAAAGTCAGTTTTCCAACAGAAATGTCAAATTAACAGTCAATCTTTTGTGTCTGTCTAGAAGGCAGAGGTGCCTGTGGTTGGCCTGGCTGCTGAACAGTTGTAAACTTCTTGTCCTAGAGCACCACTGCAGAATGATTGCATGGTAAAGCCACATTCTTTTAAGCCTCAGAGGTCTCTCTTTTGCATTTGATTTTACTTACAGATAGCCTTGGACACCAGTTACTGGACCATCATTAACCATGTCTTCATCTGGGGCAGCATTGCTACTTACTTCTCCATTTTATTTACCATGCACAGTAATGGCATCTTTGGAATGTTCCCAAACCAATTTCCGTTCATTGGTGAGTTCTACAGTCTCATGTTTTTTGCTGTCATTCATTTGTCTTTTTAACACATTAGTTTGTGTTGGGTGGGGCTGGTAATGACCAATGATCCTTTCCCCTGGACCTGACTGAGCCAGGCCTCTGCACACTTCCACACTTCCACACTTGCCTGCTGTCCCTGCCAGATGAAGAAGACTCATTGTGATAGTAGACTGCACAAACTGCTGGTCACTGGTCTATGAGTGGCCTGAAGAACAGGCTATGTAGTTAGACAGCCAAGTTTCAAATGCCAGCTCCACCACTTGACAAGCAGTGTGACTGTGGGCAAGTTTCCTCTCTTCACCATTTAATGTTTTCATTTAGAAAGTGGTGATATGTATAGTTTCTATTGTCATAGAAAAGTTATGGGGATTAAATATATAACACATACAAAATATTTAGCATGTATACCTAAAATGTACCAATAGAAGAATTAAAAAGAAAAAATATTTAGCGTATATCACAGCCCAGGCTACATTTTCAATAAATGTTGACAGTGTTGATAGTGATTACTTTTATTCAAACATGATTACTGCTTGGGGGCATTGCAGAAGGATTGAACATCAGTAGGGTAACAAAGAGTCTCTTAAAAGCCCTTAAATCCTTGAGATTCTATTATTATCCCAAGAATAAGTATACCTGGTATAGGCACAGAGTATACTACCATGCAGTCCACTTTTCTAAGTGATTCCCAGTGAGGCCACTATAATTTATACAAGAAGGCTATTAATACAGCTTTTCACAAGCTCTGAGTTCTCTTGTGCATGCAGGATAAGTAGGAAACAGCAGATTTTCTAAGTTTATCTCAACAAACTAGAAAAGGGTGATACATCGTAACACTCTTCTTGAGCTCAATCAAGCAAGACTGGAATTTACATCCACTATTTGGGTAACTCAGTTCAGAAAACAATTTTTAGAAGACTGATTCATGTAGAAAGCATCAAGACAAACCAACTGTCCGTTTAGATGTTTCCACTCATGCCAATGTACCTGAATTTCTAATTCCATTTGAATGCACACGTACAACTTATGAACATTTTCCTTCAACTTTTGCCTTTCCCTGCATGTAACTAGAAATCTTTAAATTAGACTCTTACTTAATATGTAATGTTAATACTTTGTTTACCAAAGATTCCAACCATGGAGAGGCATGTTGGTTATGAATCAGAATAAGCTGGTTAGGAAAGAAAGACTCAAATTACTTCTAAGTTTTGATTTATTTATTGATATATATGTGTGTAATATTTTAGGGTGTTGCCAAAATGGAAAGCTCATTGCATAGATTAGAAAACTTGCAGTCCTGAGAGAGCATCCTCATATGCCTGATGGGCCAGGAATGCCTATGCTAGTAAAAGTAGTTTGTGCATGGGACTCTCCTCCGCTAAGCACATGCCATTCCAGGAATTAATTACAGAGCCCCAATGAGACTTTACAAAAGTTAGATCAACAATGGAGTTTAAGGGAAAAAAGATTTTTTCCTTTAGTAACCAGCAGCATGTAGGAGTGTGGTTTTACAGTGAAGCTTGTTTTTCTCAGCCTTGCCTGGGGGTTCTGAGCTTTAAGGAGCCCAGAAAGCCCTTTAATTTATCGAGTTAAGTTTATTTCTGCTCGTGGCTGAAGGCAGCTGGAGTCAGCTGCTCTTTGGTAGGCAGAGTCTACTCGCCAGAGCCAGAAAAAGCAGAGGTACCCACCAGGGACCAAGCCCTCATACCCAAATCCCACCTCAGTGGTGTGAAGAGTTAGCCCTGGAAAAGGGAACTAGGGAGTTGGAGGCATCGTGAGAAATTCCTAGAAAATGAATACGGACAAAGTTTTCTGTTGGCGGTAGAAGCAGGGTTTGTCTGTCTGCCTCACTGACCCTTCCTGCTCACAGATGTGCGGTGAGAGTTGAAAGTAGGGAAACTGGCTTCAGGCCTGGGCACGGGTCTCAGTGCCCATGGCTTTGTATGTCGGATGGCTGCAGGGGTGGTGGCCCACAGGGAGGGGTGCTCTTCACACACACCCAGCCCCGCCCCACTGCCTTGGAGTTTGAAGTAGCTCATAACCTCTGAGGCAGATTACTGGGGCCATTGCCTGGAATTTAAAAGGTTGGCCTTGCAGTAGGTGAAGCTCACCTTTTATGTTAGCTGGCCAAAAGACCATGTTTGAAATTACACCTGCATTCAGAGCGTTGATGGTGAGTTTGATAGTCTGATTTTATTTAAGACCCCACAAAGGCAAAAAAGACTGTGCCTTTAAACGACACAGTTGCACCTCGGGCTCCTCATTAATCCATCCCAGAACTCTTGGTGAGTGCTGGAAGCCATGGGTAAGGAACAAATTTTTGCCTTAAAAAAATGTAATTAAAAAGACTTCATGAACATTTCCCAGAAGGGTCCCATTTTCCTGGGCTCATATTAGCCTTGTAGGCTTAGTGGTACCACTCTGAACCTTTTTTGCGGCTCATGATTACTTATAATGCGGAAAAGCACAAACAATGAGGAGGAGTCTGGGATTCTGCCTGTTCCTGAGCTGCTGAGGTGAGCGCTGGAACATTGTCAAAGTGTGACAACACCAGGATCTCTAGGCTGGAAGAGGGAGTCGTGCATCCTGGGTAGCGCTGGACCGAGCCTGGATCCCAGCCGCTGGGCTCAGGCGGGTTCAGCCCTCAGCCATCCCTGGGGTGAGCTTGCCGCCTGCCTTCTCATCACCACTGAGCACCCAGTACTGGGGGAGACACCCTATTCTCCCAGGGAGGCCAAACTTCATCTTTGCATAAGAGATCTTACCAGCGAAGAGCCTCCTGAGAAACTGGTCCTGTGTATAACCACAGGGTGTATTTGCCTTTAATCATAGGAAACGTCCGGCATTCTTTGACCCAGAAGTGCATCTGGCTTGTCATTCTCTTAACAACAGTGGCCTCAGTTATGCCAGTGGTGGCATTCAGATTTCTGAAGATGGATTTACACCCAACCCCAACTGACCAGGTCTGTGTGTGTGCTGAGCACCTGGGAACGGGTTCTCGGCTCTCGGAATGGTCTCCTCTGTCTGATTGGAAGCCCGGGGAAGCTCTGGTGGAATTCTGGGTCCTGTGTGCCAATAAGAGAAGCTTCTGGAAAAAGTATGGGTGGAGAGACAAAAATTACATGAGTTGGGTGGTTTTGGTTTTGGGTTTTTTTTGTACTGGGGATCGAACTCGGGTTCTTGTGTTTGCGAGGCAGGCAGCTGAACCACTGAGCTAAATCCCCGGCCCCAAGTTGGGTGTTTTTAAAAGCTGAGCTTAATAAAAGAAGCACACTGGAATTAGCTTGGACAACTACTCTAAGAGAAAGGCAAACCACAGGGAAAGTTATTGACTTGAAGGCAATTAAAGTGTACAGTAGAAGGGAGAGAAGAAAGAACTGAGTCAGAGGCTATGCTTGTAGAAATACAAGAGCAGATTAGAAAATGGGGGAGAAGCTATCTTCTGAACAGATGAAAAGGGAATAGCAGCACAATGGATGGATCAGGAAGTACAAGGTAGAAGGAAAATAGGAAGAACAGATAATGGAAGTACCTGAAGTGGGGAGTAAGATGAGATTTCTGGGTTTCATGGGAAGAGGATTGTAATCCAGACAACATTAGGTCAAGATACAGATATGAAGAGAAAGGAAGGAAGGGGAGACGCATGTGGAGTCCCTGTCCGGTCTTCTTTCTTTCTGCTTCTGAGCTGATACAAACCTAGGGAATGATGGTGAGGCCGACCGAAGGAAGGTAATGCACATTGCTTCTGTGTTCAGTCTGACTGCGATTTTCTGCTTCACAACTTTCCTCTGACACCAAATTTGGAATCCAAGCGATTTGCCAAATCAGAGAACAGGGTCATCCACACCGGGCCCTTGATCTTTTCCTGCTTTGCAGGGAAATGAAAGAAATGCTGGAAACCCACTCAAAGGATGTAGAGCCCTTCAAACGGCCACAAATTTCCAAGAACGAATCAAACCCCTGAGAGTTTCATGATACATTGACCTACCACAAGCACTGGAAGTTTCTGTCTCTCATTTTCTAAATTTTCTCGTACTCCAGTTACTGATAACTGTTGGACCCAGAGCATCTCAAGAGGAGAGGGATCCCCCATTGGGGGAACAGGACTACAGTTATCACACCCACGGTGCCTGGGTGGTGGGTGAAATCTTTCTGTATATAAGCATGTACTGTACCTAGCATGCACAAGGCCTTGACTTCCATCCTCAGTACATATTCTGTGCAGTTGAGCATCCAAGGTGGAGAGGGTAATGAAGCATACCCGAATGGCTCTTGTTTGCATGACAGTTTCTTACTAGGCATTATCTCACTCCGGTTCTGTTCCTCCCCAGATCCGCAGGTGGCAGAAGGCCCAGAAAAAGGCAAGGCCTGTGAGGAGACGACGGCCTCAGGCCCGTAGGTCAAGCTCAAGAAGATCTGGCTATGCTTTTGCTCACCAAGAGGGCTATGGAGAACTTATCACATCTGGAAAAAATATGCGAGCTAAAAATCCACCCCCAGCATCAGGGTTGGAAAAGCCGCTTTGTAATAGCACTAGCTGGCTTGAAAATTTATGTAAGAAAACCACAGACACATTGAGCAGCTTTAGTCAGGAGAAGACAGTGAAACTGTAAGTCAAGATGAATTTGAACCACACTTATCTTTCACTTCAGCTGGAGCTGAAATTCAGCTGCTCCGGGGCGAGGAGTTGGGCAGGCCAGCTCACTTAGCTTCAGTCTGCTGCTGCTGGTGCCCGGCAAATCGGGCCGTACGGGAAACTGGGCCAGGTGCTCACTGTCCAAGCTGCAGTGTGATGGACCAAAACCTTGAAGTTCAAGTATGAGTTCTTTTGGTTTTGTTTTTGTTTTTTAGTACCGGGAATCAAACTCAGGACCTTGCTCTTTCAAGGCAGGCAGCATACCACTGAACTAAATCCCCGGCCCCAAGTATGGGTTTTTATCAACCTTTATACCAATTGATCTGAGCCCTGGGATCTTATCTATGGAGAGAACCTTGTACCTCTGGGTAGACACTGAACGATCCTCAGGTGGATAAATGAGTGCATTCCACAGGTGTATATCTGAGCTGAGGGCCACGTTGTTGACAGATAAACCATGTACATAAAGGACAGACTTTCTTTCCCGAGGCACTTCCAAGACAAAGTAGTGTATATGCCAAGGTGCTTTCAGAGAAAGGGTCACAAATCACTCCCTAGTCTTCATGTCTACCTTTCTGTCCCACCAGGGACACAGATCACTTGCATGGCTAGAAAGGAGAAAGGCCTGTTGGTATTCTTCTTTTCTACTAGTCTAAGGATAAGGTAGACTAAACATGTTTACAGGGGCTAGGCTGGTCATTTGGGCAGATTTATTTAAAAAGCTCTCAGACTGTGTTATGGATAGACATGCCCATGAAATCTCAAAGCATGCTCTCGAGAAAGTATTCTAAATATGTTTCAATGACTTTTGTAACAAACTCAGTAGTACTTTGCTGACCATCATCCAGACCATGGAGGGAGTCAGCAAAGCACTGCGATTTCACAATTTAATGATGGTATTCCATATAATCTATGGGCAAATACTTAACAACATTTCCAATTTTTAAAACTTGGCAATTGAAATGAAACAAGTCAATAGATAGCCTCTTCAATTACTATTTAAATACTCAGGTTTAGGATATTGATAACCAACTGTCATGTTTATAATTCAAACATATAAACCTATGTAGATGAGGCTGATGTTCTGGAAATGTTCTAGCCCGAATGTTTAGTCTACACATGAGTCACTAGTATATTTCCTGGAAAGGACTTTAGGCAGATTTGTGTTCCAGTCCCAGCTCTGTTGCTTCTGACCTCTGCAGGCTGGGTGGGTGACGTACCTTCTCCGAGAGTAAGTTTCCTCCTCTGTGAAGCAAGGACTTACTACCTACCTCATATGGCTGCTAATGTCAAAGCACGGGTTCTCATCACCAAAAACATAATCCTCACACAAATATATGAAGCAAGCTTCGTTAACTCATCATCAGTATGACAGAGCAATTTGAGGAGAATATGAACAGCTGGAATCTCAGTAATCCCTGGGGAAGACTTTGATGCAATGAGACTGCTAAGGAAGGTTTAAACCTAGTTAGTGACCTATAGGGAAATAAAACTCTCTCTTCCTCCCTTAATTTCCAAGCCTGGGATAATTTTTTCTGAACAGGTCCAAATGAGATAATGTGTGTAAAAGATAATAAAGATAATATGTAAACAGTGCTTTGACCACAGTAAACACACATAGGTGTTCCTTTTTCCTCTCCATGCCTGTCCAGCCGTATCAAGCTGTTAGTATCTAATGTCTTACCTGTCATCAGTTCCATGGTGTTTGCCTCCTTTTGTAACATTGTTTAAAACTTTCAGTAAATGTTTTGGCACTACTGTCATTTGACATTTTGTGTCTTCTTTATTGGGCACTCATTGGGGGAATTTGTTTTTCCTGTCTTTTGTATGCCTGGGGGAAAAGTACATAATTTTTAGGACTGGAGTCAAGAATAAAATGAACGGATTGGAACTATGTGTGAGGGAGGGAAAGAATAGAAATGACATAATTTTGCAAATTCAATTCAAATTAAGGCTGATCATCAATAGGGCTGTGGAGGATTGTGAGATAAACATATTATCGCTTTACTTTGGACCCAAATAAGCTCACACACCCACTGCAAGCTCATTCAGTTACAAGGGCCAGGGATTATTTTGAGCCTGAAGATGAAAAGTCTGAGGGGTAGGTGGTGATGGTTGGACCCTGGGGAATAATAAAATTTTAATTTTATATAAATGATATCAGATCCTTTGGAAAGAAAAACCCTTTTTTTCTGGATTCAGGACTTCAGTTGGTAACCTTGTGTTTTAAAGCCTCAGCCTAGGTTTTGAGGTCTTACAGGCAAGTGTAAATCATATTTTCCAGACTTTTGTCTGCTATCTTTGTGCCTCCCCTGCCTCCAGGTGTGTAGATCTGTGAAGCAAAGAAAGACAGGATGAAGAAAGTGGGAGAGACAAAGCAAGAGAAAAAAAAGAATAGAAGGAAGGCAGGATGAAGAGAAGGATTTCACATCTCTTGAGGTGTTTGTCTTAAAATAAATTTAATCTTTCAAAGGAAGACTTAGATCTATTTGAAACATGAATAGCAAAACTTCCTTCACGTTCTGCTGGAGGACAAGAAAATGTTGCTGGAAAGGAGGCCAGGTGCTCAGCTTCACGTCAGAGACGGGCTGATGTGTGTGGCTGGGGTGTGCCACTGGACTCCTGCTGCCCTCAGTGTCCTGTCCATGGGGAAGGGGACAGGGCAGCTTCAAAGGCCCTTGCCACTTGTCCATTGTGTGTTTTTGGAGAGAGGGAGAAAGTAGTCGGGGGTGGGGGGAGTAGAGGAGATTGCCTGAGAATTGGATGCTCCCATGTTGCAAGCCGGTCTCTTGTGCTGATTTGTATTTCTCCAGAACAGCCCAGCCTACTCCTGTCTATGGCCTCTCTCAGGTCCTCACTGTGGTGCAAAGCTCCGCATTGGCATTTTGCCTGGGTTGGTGGAACACATGTAGTTTCTTGCTAACAATTCACTAAAATATCTGCACTCCTTACTTCCTCTCCACCATTTTAAATATCAAAAGTAGAGAGATACAGAACTAAGACACGCGTGCCCAGGAAGAAGAGGGCCATGTTGAAGTCCTTCCTGCCTTGTTCCTGGGCTTAGAGTAGATTTCTTTGGGTCTCAGCTCCTTGAGGATTCGAGTTAAAACAACGGAGCTCAAGTGGTGTTCTTCCTGGATCCAGAACACTCGCCCTCATGCATCACTCCTATCCAAATTGTATTCTGTGAACTTACAACAGCCCTGAGAAGTGGCCAAGACATCCAAGTTGGATTCATTCTTAGGAAGAAGAAATCTCAGGTGCAGGGAGGTTGAGTGTTATGGTAATATTCCTTAGGAAGTAGAAGAGCTAGGACCAGGACTCACCAATTCCAGAGCTGCCTGCCTCACCTCCTCCTCCCACAGCTCTCCTACTGACCTGGGATTCCTGAGCAGGCTGTCCTCCTTCAGAACCATGCATTTGGCTTCTCAAATGTGCAGTTTAGGGAAGAAGTGTAAACTCATATAAAAATGTTTTTGAAATGTTGGTTTGCAGTGCGTGCTCTTTCCCTCTCAGTGCCAAAAAGCAAAATTTCTTCCCTTCCTTTCCTTTAACATCTTGAGGAGTTAGGTGTGGCATGCAGACTGGGGAAATAAACATATCTGAAGCTGGTTTTTTTTTTTTTAGAAATCACAATAAATCAGAAAGACTATACTTGTTGGTTTTATGGTAAGAAATTGCGCTATTGTCAATGTGTAAGCAAAATGCCTCCAGATTAATATGAGCTAATGACCTATTACATGATTTGGAGTTATTATTTTGCATTTTTAAAAGTAGGCACAAGGTTAAATAATAGAAGAGCCCAGCAATGATGATGACTTACAGATTTGCAATGGGATTTTGCAGGTCAGAGGTCAGATAACTACGTGTGATCACAATTTTCCAATTTTCACATTAACATCTGGTATTAAATGCCTGCAGTTTGCTCTACTGTGTCACTTTTCATTCCTCAGTGAAAAATCATAAACTTTTGCAATTCTTTAGCCTAAAACTTTTGCTGAACTCCCTGGAAGCCAGAAATAAATGATCCATGTATTTCAAAATGCTCATTGCAAAAGATTTGGAGGGCTCTGCTGGGCTCATCTGTAGGTCTGGAGCTACGACCTAACCAAGAAATGCGCCTATGTGTCTTCAAATTTCAAAACTTCCTGGCAGATCTATTCCTGTAATGGGTGCAGAATGCAAATCAGCTTGGAGCTGCGTACAAGAAATAATGATGATCAATTGGCCAAACATCTCTGGTTATATTGATTCAGATTCCTGTAAGGCTTATAAGGGCAAGTTAACATTTCTTATAAGCCCTGGGCTAATACAAAAAAATGTTATTGGAAGAGGATGTAGGGAAAGATGGTAATGAAAGAAATAATGAAGGAGAGAGTTAGACATTTCACGAATATTTTTATACTTTCTGCCTTCTTCTAGGCAACTTCGAGCAGTGATTTTTGACAATTGATGATTTACTTGCAGCCCCCTTTCTGATATTTCTCCATTAAGCCAATTAATCAATAAGATACTATAGGCCAGGCTGAAATATTTTCTTAGTTTTGCTTCATTATACAAGCAATAATTCATTTTTTTCTAAAACTACAAGATGATGTACTGTGAGTAACAGGAATAGCTCCTAACTACAAAATATTAATGACAAAATACTGTATCTTTAGTTATTGTGAATATATTTATCAGAACAAAGTACTGACATTATTTGATTCAAATATTTTTACAAATAAAACATTTACAAATAATTGTGGGAGCTTAGTCCAATTTTGGGTGGCAGAAGAGATCACTGGAAATACATTGTTGACTGTCTTTGTTTTATGGTTCTGTTTCTTCCTTGAAGTTCTCGAATTAAGCATTTGCACACTGCTTGTATGTGGTGGACATCTCAAATGAAAGGCACCAACAAATTGAACCCCACTGGGCTAAGCACTGAGAGTGGGGAGGCGTGTACAAGATAAATAAGAACCACTTTCTATCTTGCCTCTGAGGAGGCTTTAGTCTAGCGTCTTTCAACTGAGCACTGTGCATACCACGTTCATAGAAGCTAAGATGCCATCCTTTAAAAGATGCGCCATGAATTTGTATACTACTTGAAATTAAGAAAAAGTCACCATCAGATATAAAATTTATTCCCAATTTCAGAGATGTTGAAATATGAAATATGGTAAGTACTGGATTGTAGAAGGATTACAAATGGTGAAAAACAATATGACAGCCGCTGTTTAAAGATGACCAAACGGGCTGGTAGGTTCCATAGCTATTAAAGGGTCGTTTTGAAGGGTAAAAGAAACAAAAACAAAAACGAGGTCTTTTTGCAGGCTGAGGGAGCTGGAACTCAGAAAGGGAAGAGCAAGAGAGTGCTGTCCAAACTAAAAAAACACTGAGATTGCATCTGCAGAAAGAATGGCAAACATCGAGAAATCAAATAATAATAGACTTGCTGGGGGAAAAGGAGCCCCTCTACATTATTGGTGGAATGTAAACTAGTACAACCATTATGGAAATTCCTCAAAAAACTAAAAATAAAAATTCCATTCAACTCAGCTTTTTCCCTTGTAGGTATCTTCCCAAAAGAGTTAAAGACAACACATTATGGCAATACATGCATACCCATATTGATAATGGCACAATTCATAATAGCCAAATCTTGGAAGCAGTTTAGGTGGCCATCAACAGACAAATGGATAAAAAAATAGTATCTATACACAATGGCATACTACTCTGCTATAAAGAAGGAAGAATTTGAACCAGTTGTACAAAAATGGATGCACCTTGAAAACAATGCTAAGTAAAATAAATCAGACACAAAAGCTTAAATACTGTATGGTTTCTCTTATATGAGAAACCCAAAGTATAAATAAAAGAGCCAAATAAAAGGTAGACAAAAGGAATCAGGGAGATGAGACTTTAGCAAAAGGGAAAGGGACCAACAGATGAAAGAGGTGGCTAGGGAAGGAAATGGAAAAAGAATTGGGATGTGTCCTGTCCACGTACCAACTCCCCACAGCGAAAGGAATCGCTGTGTACTGCAAATGTGAGGGAAACACGGCAGGGCCCGGTCTTTGCAGAACATTCGTGGCACAAGAACAATGAGGGTGCTGCTGCAGGTGGTGTGGGCCGACGTGCTCTCCTGGTGGCACGCAGAGAGGGTAAGGGAGGTCCAGTGATGCTCCTGGGGCCTCGGGGCTGCTCATCCCCAAAGCACCTCACTTCCGGAAGCCCAGCCTGTGTAGCTCTGGGGATTTAGTCGGTATCATTCTGGCAAATTTGTGTGCTTAGTTTACTGGCATCTCTTTGTTTTTTTAATTTATTATTTTTTTATCCACAGGTCACAAAATAGAAAGAGAAGGTTGTTTATTGGCCGGTTCACCTTTTAGTTTCCTAGGGGGAGGTGCAGTCGTTTGGAGAGGGTCCTGGCTTCGAGGGCCGGTGGTGTGGCTCCGCTCTCCCCCTGGGTTCAAGCTCCTCAGTCATCTGTCATCCATCGCTCTGGGGGTTTACTTTCCTGATACAGCTGACTGGAGCGGGACTCTCACCTACCAGGGATAGCTCCTGTGAGGGCCGGACGAGATAATGCTGATTGCATAATCCTTGTCATAGCCCTGGCTTGTAGGGAAAGTAAATAAATCCAAGCTGCTGTTACCAGAGGAGCCACCACGGGTTTGGACCCAAGGGGGCTGCATTTCACTCGCCCTGCAGGAGGTTTAACTTGTTTTGAAAGTTTTTGGCCCTGGGAAGCGAGATAGGCTGGCCTGTTGGAGACAAGCCTCG